TTACAACTGTTAAATATTTGTAATGTTACTATAACATAAACTGTAATTTTTTAAGAATGAATATGTAAGAATGAATATGTATGGTGCCAAAACTCTATTTGTAATTCAGTCCTTAAAACTGAAGACTAAATTTGGGGGAAAAAGGTTGGAAGTTTTTGGACAGTTAAATATATCAATTATACAACAAAGATTACCACAGTAAGAATCACAATTTCAAAATAGAGTTATGAATATTTTAATAGTGGAACTGTCTGCTTAGAGGGGCTAAAATGAAAACATAATTGATCAAGTCCTCATCTGCAAAAAAATGGCACATGTGTATATACACTTGTGCATACATGTAGATCGTCTGCCATGTTGTTCAGCATAAGGGCTACCTACCAGTTACAGAACAGAAATTATGACGTGTTTTATTATTGGGAGTTGCATCTGAATTGCTATGGTAAACTGCCAGTTTAGAAAAAAAAAAACAGATTTTATTGGAAGATATTATTGTTTTCATCAGCATTCATTTTTAGTGGTTTGAGTATAGCTTTCAAGTCCCATGTTCATCTGTAATAAAGAAGAAAGAATAATTTATCTTGAATGAATAGTGTGGTCCTGATGAACACTAGCGGGATCAGACTAAATAGGGTGTTATTGTTGCTGCTGTGACTAAGTGGAAATGATTTATTGTAATGTTTTAAATCTATTCATGTGACCTAACTTCAGGATTTATTGACAGCCCAAATATTTGGCAATCTCTGCCAAGAATTTTTCTTTGTAACTAAAGTATAGACAGGTACAATCCAAATTATCTTAAAATGTCACGTAACACCAAAAGTCAGCATAACATAGATCCAATTCTCTCTGGAAAATTGCACCAAAATTGCATTCTCCTTGCACAGAAAATGTATTTATCCTTTTCTCCCCTCCATATCCTGTTGGTTTTTGGCTGACGTTTTGAACTAATGAATTTGCCACCTCCTGGTTTAGTTACAAATAAATAAAAGTGAGATCCCCGTAGGGGAGTCCTGACAGTAAAACTCTAAAATAATTAGTTTACTGTTGTCTAGTTGCTGACAGAGATGAAGTGAAACCAATTGATTGTGTAGGGTGATAGCATATCTGATTTAAGTGTCTATGGGTAAACCTAACACATCACTGTATTCTGTACTCTATCTGAAAAGAGTCAAGGAGAATGGGTCAATACAAACCCTACTCAAGACTGTGAAGCAGAATTGATCAACTGTAGGGAAAAACTTCTTGTTGCTGTCTTAGCTTGTTCATGCTACAGGCAGTTAACAATATTTCAGGCACGGTGTATCATACATGCACTGAGCTCTCATTTGAATACAGAGAAAAATATCCTAATGGGCAAAAGGTAAGAAAAGTCATTTCACCAAAACTGGATGGTTCCAAGAAGTGTAGGAATATTTGTAGCATTCCTTTTAAGTTCTTTGCAGGAGTTAGAAAAATAATTGATTCTTGTGTGACAAGTGTGTGTTTTTATACATTATCTTGTCCTTTTACCTAAAGACATTTTTTGGACCAACAGGCTTCTGTGCTGCACAGGAAATCTTTACTGTGTCAGTCACGGCTGTTAACAGATATTTTATCCAATGCAGTGAATTGAAATTATTAATCTACTGTAAGGCCATTGATATGAAGGCAGCTTGTAGTCCTCTGGTAAACAATACCAGGACCTTCTGTCACTGAAAGACAATGAAAAAAAAGTAATTTCAAACTTAGCTCCTTTGTTAGTCAACTGCTTACATTTTTTTTAATGACTGTGACTACTTCAAAGTCAAAACTAAGTTCCTGCACAGGGGTATTAGAAACTATATCAACAAATTAGAACAAGACTATTATGAAAGAACATTTTGCATTTCTTTCTAGTTAAAGGATTTTCGACGAGAAGAATACTTTATACTGTTATCAGATATTTGTTAGTATTGAGAAATTTATTGATCTCTTTCTTTTAGAGACTGCAGGTTAAACTTCAGTTTTTCAAAATTTTAGAAATGATATCCTTCGCACATCGGGGTTTTATTTCAGACTCTAGAACAAGGAATACGTTCTTCCCATATACTGTTTTAAATCTTCAATTAGGTTTGGTTAATATGGATCAAAATTAAACTGCAAACTTTTCTTAAATCTCAAAAACTACTTGCAACTTTTGCAGAATAAGAACTTGTCTCCGAACCAATAGGTAATCATTCAATAAAGTAGAACTTTGGCCTTGTCCGTTAGCTAAATATGATATACATTCTGGGGACTATATAAAGGGACTTTATAAAGGTCATGATTATTTTAAGCTTTTACCTTGGAAACTAGTACCTTAATAGCAACTAACGTCCATTAAAGCAACTTTAATTAAGCCCCTATAACAGGAAATTATTATCTCTATTCAGAGTATTACCCACAATACACCCCGTGCGTATAGTGCCAGTTAATGTCACACAACTTAAGAAACTTCCTGCAAGAGCTTTTCTGTTAACAATAAAGCAGCTCCTAACTTGAAAACATCACAGTGAAAGAACACCCAAATGCATTTTCACTTTCCTCAAGTTCTAAAGATCTTGAAATATTTTTTTCTGCAGCCTCTTAAAGCAATATTTTGAATTAATTTATACCTTTATTCTTCACTTTATTCTGAGTGTGATCTGTGACTCAATCCTGCACTGTGCCAAGAGGCTCTATGCAAAATACTGAGTGCCCTTTTAAAGTAAAGGGTTTGAGGAGGTTTGGCATCTCTTAGGATCAAGAAGTTTAATCCAATACCAAATGTCTGCTTTTTTAAATAACAACATACAACTTCAGGATTGAAAGCCTCACTTTATTTTTGGACTATGTTATGAGTGTAAAATATATCTATTATTTTCTTTGCAAGAGAAAGAGTGAAAATTCATTGTCAAACAGGATTTCCTTGAAAAACACAAGTGCTTTAGGAGCTCAGAAGTTCTCCTACTTGAAAACAGTAATCTGTAACAGTTAACATTTCTTTCATGCAGATTGTTCTCTTGCATCCAAAGCACAGATTTTGGTGCTCCATTATCCATGTCACAAAACCTATTAGTTTTGCCCAAAATGTTTGTTTCCACTTTGTAGTTTTATAAGTTTATTTTTGATTCCATCCTAGGGATTTGTCCCCTGCTATCTAAAAGTACTCTTTGACCTTAAGGGTAACTTCTCAAAATCCATTTGGAATTTATTGTACTTGGAGAACTGCCCACTTGCTAGTCTGTTAGCCAAGATTTGCTGTATTCATTTCATTACTCTCTTATCGTGCAACTGCTCTTGTATCTCACATATCGTAGAGAGAGGACCTTGGACAAGAAGGCATGTCTGTTTCTGCAGAGCAGAAGCTGAACCTGTCCATAGCACTGATACGGCCAAAGATAGTTCCACCAGAACTTCAAACTTTGGGAATTATTGAACAGAAAGTGAACAAATACCTCCAACAATATAGATGCCATTGTGCCATTTTACCTTTTCTCTCCTCTTATTTTAGTTCAGTTAAACTTCACCCAAGTTGAACTTTTCAAGTCCCCCATCAAGCATTCTCCAAGAAAATAAATTTGCTGCTCTCCTTCTGTTGAAAGTAAAGTATGGAAATTGCTTAAACCAGTGTTGGTGTCCTTTTTTTAACACTTATTCGTGTAATGTGTAATTAAAGTGAATTAACAGCTTCAATTGTCTTAAATCATTTTGAGTTTTGATTTATGAGTTCTGTTGGCTGCATTGATTCATCTTGAAGATACTAGCAGTGGAGGTATCAGAGTAGAGGGATATGCCTATCCCTGAACTGCTTATGGTCTAGCATATTAGCATAATCCAGCATTGATTTCATTTTGTATCGATATGCCAGGCTGTAAATCGTGGCAGTTGAGGACTCTGATAATTCCTTCCGAATTTAGCTGCAGCTGTGGAACTGTAACACCTATATCCAATAGGAATCATTAGCCAGAGTCTTGGTTTAAATAAATACGGAATTTGTAAACTCTACTAGTCGTGAGAAGATGTAATCCTCAAGACAGCAGAGGAGTATTTGGGACAACATATAGACCCTTTGGAAGGAAGTGAAAATTCTGTCACCAGTTTCAGTTAAATCCCTTTTCACCCAATAACTGTGAAGTGTATAAATAAAACGAGGACTTTCAGATAAGAAGCTGTTTGCTGTGACATACTTTTTTAATACAGAGATAGAACAACTGAAAAAGGTATTTGAGACAGTGCCAGACAGAAGGAGCATGGAGGGGAGAATGTTGGGTCTTGAAGAATTAGATCTGACAAGGTCTTTAGCAATCTTCCAACATCCACTGTGCAAAAAATAGGAGGATAACAGCTGTATTACCTATTCTGAAGAGTCTGGGATAATGAGGCATATTGTTACCAGATTAGTATGTATTCTTTTAAATCCTATTGGTGTGTTAGCCTGTTAGTCTTTGAAATGGCTCCAAGTTGTTCTTTGCTGTTGTTGTCAAGCCGTATGTGAGATCTAATATAGGGTTTAAATGTGTGCTTAATGAAAAAGCTTAAACCAGGCAAGAGAAAATAATGATAGTTGCCATAAAATTATCTTAAATTATGACAAATTCATTTTTCCACATTCACATGGTCCTTATATAAGAAGATGTGATTATGTATTTAGTTAGATATTTTACTCTTTGTATCAAATTTTTGCCAACAATGATATCTTGTACAAAGTTGGGCTCCACCTCAACTACCAGGTATGCAAGTCGTTTTGATGGAAAGTTACTGTTATAACTTTTAAAACCACGGTAAAAAGTTTTAGGAGGTATTAGGCAACCTTTCTGCTACCCTTTGCTGTAGGTGAATGCCAGGAGAAAGTCAGCCACACCAAGAACACTCTCATAAATTTTTCATAAGAATTAGAACACTTACCTTCATTAGCTGACAACTGCTAATTTTGATTTTAACTGTAAATACAGATATTATAAGCAGCTCTTAAGGATGCAAACTTGTAAGTCACAGGTTTTTATTTTCCTCTCCTACAGTGCTGGCCGTGGCCTATATGGAATTGATAGCATGCCAGACCTGCGTAGAAAGAAATCTTTTCCCATTGTTCGAGATGTGGTGAGTAACTTTTGATGCCGTGAAACCCTTGATTCATTTGTCAGTTTTCTAGATCTTTCTTGTAATTACTAACGTGCATGTGAATGCTAGTTTGTCAGCAATTGTTTCATGGGAAAACAGGTATCTTGAGAATGGATTGAGGCCAGTAAAAGTCAATGACACAGTTGTTGTACTAGATAAGTCTGAATATCTCATTGAATACTTAGATGTTACTTGTGGAATCAAGTAATGTGCATTTTGTGCAATAATAAACTACCTATTCTCATGTTGAATTAGCTTGTAAAGACAGCTGTTATTGGCTGCTTGGGATACCAATTGACTTGATTTATTATGGTACTGAAAGAGGAAGAAATTTCCTTTTAAAAAGCAACCTTATTTCAGTATGAATGTTTTAAAGATTTATGCATACTCTTGGTAGAAGATGAGGTATGTTATTTTAGCAGTCATTGCAGACAATAATAATCTGGGCAAATAAATTGCAGGAAGGTGAAAAGAATGGCAGTTCCTTTGAGATTTATTCTGACTTCCAGTCTAAACAAGATTAAGTAGAATCTCTCTGCTCTGAAGAATTTAAAATGCCATTTTCTTTTCCCAAATTATGGAATTCCTAATACAATAAAAGGCACATTTGGTCTCTGGTGGTTATGAGCCCCCAAAACCAATTACTCATTGCGAAGAAAGGGAGTCAGCCAAAGCAAACGATTACTGCAGTTGTCTTTAAAAAATCAATCTTTGCCAAATTATTGCTCAATGTATTCTCAGCTACTTTGTTCAGTTACTCTATAGTGATATACCATACTATCTGAAGGGTCACAAAGAGAAAGCACAGCAACCATTTTAGATCAGGATTCCTTCTGAAATCAGTGAAAAGTTGCAATTTATGACATAGTAGAGCCTTCGTTAATTGAAAACATCTTTTTGATAGTAGCCACTCCACCGTAAGTTGTATTACATGACTATAATTTACAGCCATACTATGTTACTTTTATGCATGTTAAATAACACTTTGCTTTATTCTTAATTGTTGGAACTGTTTACAGACGGGTATTACTCAGAATGAGTTAAGAGATCAGAATCTTAATATTAACTCTTCACTTTGAAAAACATAATAATTATCAAAGTAAGACAAAAAATAAAATTCACATTTTGAATGGTGGAATAAAACTTTAATTTTATTATTGTAATATGTCAATTATTACAATGTAATGATTACTACTTTGCTGTTCAGTCATTGAAGGATAACTCCTCTTGAAGGAATTCTACCTTTAATAAGTGAAAATTGCAGAGTTTTAAAATAGAAATTTATTCTGGAATTTAATAATTATGGATTTACAGTATAGCACTTAACTGTATGGTTTTTAACTGCATGCTTCTTTAAAATAGTAAATCATATTAAAATTAATTTCTGTAGCTGTAAACCTAAAACAATTTTACCAACTTTAGAGGAACTTATTTCAGACTTAGTGTGGGTCATCTTTGTCTTTGAAAGATTATTTGTATTTGAAGGTATGTGCATTTTAAGCAATCTCCTGTAAATTCTGAGCTTGTAATAGGTTGATTCCAAAATATCTTATTTAAATCAGCAGCTTAATTCTCAAGTCCTTGTAAGATCTGATACACAGTAAATGATCTTTATGTTTATTTACATGTCACTTTCAGAAATATAGAAATAATATTGCTAGAAATGAGTGCTAGGCTTTTTTGACACTGACTGAAATAGATGTCATTTGATATCCTCTTTTGTTGCAATAAACCTGACATTATTAATATTTTTTAAAATTTCTTTCCTATCTCGGCTGGATTTTTCAGGCTATGGTAAGTGCTTTTATATTGATAAATGTTCTAAAATGTTCATACTAATTCATGAATGTCATGATTTCATGAATGTCATATTTTATGCTGACCTTTTATTGAAAAATAGAAAAGCTATTTTATGACCAAGAATTTAATCCTAAGTGAAGTCGTGACTTATGTGAATGTCCTATTCTCTGCATCATATATGCCAAAATTATTAGAATAAAATTATGTTTAAAAGTTATCTATGTATTCCAAATATCCTTTCTAATGATATGAGCAGATTGTTTAGGACCCAATCGTGATGCTTCCCCTGTGGAACTGAACAGCATTAGATACATAGATAAAAAAAAGTTGAAGGTGTTCCCTACTTTTAAATTCTTTTCTATCAGTCAACTGAATTCTTTGATCTCTCTTGCAAAAAATGAATTTCCCAAAGCAAATAATGACTCTGATGTACTGTGGTGTAGTTTCTTCTAGTAACTAAATTAATGACCTATGGAAATATTTTCTTCTTCCACCAGCTTTGACACTTGGAAATGTCCCTCCTTAGTTTCCTAGTCCCTTTGCGCTTCCAGTTTTCTCTGCATAAGTTTTCACGCTTTCAGCATGATATCTCAATATAAGGTTTATCAAAATGATGTACATCTTCTTAAAATTCTATCTCTCACTCTCATTTGTTTCCATAAATTCACATTTTGAAAAATCCAGTTTTCAACAGCAGCCTTACTACTTCTTTCTCCTAAATCTCCGAGATAAGTTTTTTAACTAATGCATTGGGACTGTACTTTCCCTGCTCATTTTGGACTGAGTCAACTAGAGATGACAAGGCAGTCAAAATCCATCTACAGGAACAGCTCTCTTTGCTGCAGTCATGAGTTCCACTGTGGGTCATTATTAGAGTTCTAGAAGAATGTATCTGTATAGGAGGGAAAGACCATGAAAAGAGAAGTGATCATTCAAGTGGAGTAACAATACAGAAAGCTGTTTGACTAACAATACCTAGAGCTTGAACAGACCTCTCTTCAAAGTGGAGCCAGAAAAGAGAGTGGAGAGCACTTGCTGATGTAATTGCTGTAAAAAAACCTTCTGCACTACTTTTAAACAAGCATGTTCTCTCTTTTAGGTTAGTTAGAGCTTTTATTTGAAGTGGGACTACAACTAGGGAGAGGAATAGCAATAACTACGGTGGAGGTTAGAAGTACTTAAGGTGGCCAAATAGTTGTTGTGATCTGCCCATTCAGAGACAAAGATAGCCAGCTCTATTTTTCTATTTCACTAGGCTTTAGTCTTTGCTTCTGTTAATTCAAGTCGTCATTTCAAATATTATGGAAACTCTAGAAAATTCCTGGTTTCATTTGATTTAAAGGTGACTTTATACTGTACAATCACTGTAATCAGGCAATTTCTTCTTTTGATCATTCAAGAATGTATTATTACTTAGCATTATCATTTGTTTATAAGAACACAAGAATAATTTGTGAATCCTTACTGCTGTTGTAAAACAGACTGTTTTGTTGATACTATTGAAGTGAAGATGAAACAATTGCCCATTTCAACTAAAAAAATAATCCGCTGATATTTCTTTTTAATGTAAGCGTCTCCAGAACAAAAGCATTTATAGAGGCTAGAACTTGATTATGGCAGTTTAAGCTCTTAAGATTGAGGACATTCATGTAAATAACAGCTGCCACATTCTCAGTTTTTGTACAGTGTCAAAGTATCAGTAGATATAAACTAAATATCTGGACTATTCTACATTATATCTCAGACCACTTTCTTAACTTCTTTAGTCATTAATATAAAAATTGGATTAAATATTTTAATATTGATACATTAAATAGATACACCATAAAAACAGTCAAACAGTATTTGTATACTTATGGGGGTTTTTTAATTCAACTTGAAATCATAATAATATGATTACATTCTTCTATTTCACACCTTTGTGTTCCAGGAATTAAGAATTAATTGTGGGGAAATTAAGAAATTATTGATAAACTTTTTTTTTTTCATTCTCTTCCATGTCATGTCTGACTAACCTTAATATTCAGAATGATCTTAGAGGCTAGATGGGGCATGCTATTGTGTCTGTGCTATGAAAACAAATATGAAGAAAAAGTAAATGGTATTACAGTGTGCCCAGCAATGATTGTATAGTTAAGCTGAGTTGCTATTTCCTTTCTAAATCTGTTGTCTGGGCTTAATACTACAGCTGTGTTGAACATTTCAGTATCAGACATCAACTTTTTAAATAGAAAAATTATGGGAAGGGGATAAGTAATTTTGGATAATAGCTTTTTTCCTTTAGAGTGATTTCTTTGTCCTTCCTGTCCCCCTCTCCCTCAAGCAACAGAGTACAAATCTGTCTTTAATAAAGTCGAGATCCCTAGAATGATAAATTACCTGTAGTTGCTCGAAAGGAACAGTTCTGAAATCGTGCAGCTTTTAAATGCTGAAAACAGTAATTTTTTTTTTAAGATTTGCTTCTAGTGGGTAACTTTTACAATGCATTAAAAATACAATATTTGTAAAGTAGCAACAAATATTTTGTGGTCGACTTTTTTTTTTTTTTCCTGGTCATAGCAGCCTATAGATTCTTTTAAAGAAAAAAAAAAAATGAAGGAGAAGATCAGGAAAACAGAAACCCTCTGTAAAAACAGAGGAATGAGTATTGAATGGCACAACCAGCACTCATGAGCAGCTGCAAAAGGTTAGCCTGACTGCTTCTTCCTCCCTGCTCCTTTAGGTGCTCAAACCACTGCTTGTTTTTATTTCATCATGGTAGGTGGCTCTTTTTTGACACACACAATTTTTCATTTAACCTTTATTTGTAGCTTGAGTGTAATTTTCTTTTACTTACAGTTACCACTTTTCAATGTTTTTGCTAGGATGATTTATGAATTATATTAATTTATTTATTTAAGCTACTAAAGCAAATTTTGAGGTAATATATAAAATGGTGTAGATAGAAGTTTTTAGGGGGTCTAAAGGGACTTGAGCGCAAAGGTGACTAAGTTATTTTAAATCCTGTATCAGGGATTTGGAAAAAACATTTTAAAATTAAATGGATGATGTTCTGCTTTATCATCTCTTCTATTTTTTTATTATTTTTACATAAAGACATCCATACGTTCACAATGCAATAGTACCTAGTTAGAGATCTTTACACTCTGCAGGTCAAATTCTCATATAAGGAAAGACATGAGGTAGTATCTGAATGTCAATTTGAGAGGGTAAGCAAGTGTAAGCAGCTGAACAAGTTTTGTGTCCTGTTAAAGGAGAGTAGTGAAAGGCTTCAGGTTCCTGTGGGTTACCGTGTTCTTTGGATGCTCTAGCAATTTGGACTTCCAAAGCTGCACTTACTTTTCTTCCTTGCTACTATTTAAAAACAGAAGGGCAGTAGGAGGAAGAGTTTTCTTACTACGTTCATAACCTGTCACCTTGCTACCCATAAGTGAGTCTGGCAGCATTTTTCTCTTCCACTTTCCAAAATGCTCACTCCTCCTTGCTTTGTTACATCCTTAAGAACAGACACTGTTCTGGTTTTGTTCAGTGCTTCAAGCTGTTGAATTACCACCAGCAACTGTATTTCAGAACAGCAACTTTTTATTTATGGGCTCTCTCTTGAAGATGCAGTTTATTCTGACAGTGATACATAACTGTCCTTGTGATAAGTAAATAATCCTTGTGATGTTTTTTCACTGAAATCCCTGTAAATTTAATCCATAATGACTGTTAACTTTACTGGTTTATCTCAAATTCCTCTAGATATCACTTTCTTCTATTATCCTTCCAACATGACAAACACTTTATTAAGTATAGCCTAATTATTTGTTTCCTATTAGGCTTTGCTACCTTATATAGGACACTGTACTATGATTTTAGACATATTTCTGATGAAGGAGCAAAATGGTTAAGCTACATCATTCCAGGAGTAGCCCTTGGGAGAACTGTGCCTCAAGGACATGTGACAGGGTCAAAATGGCTTCCCTACTTTGGTTTTTGACACAGGAAATAGTATCTGTTTATTGACTTTTACTGACAGTGTGAAACTGCAGTTCTCCTGCTGGCTGATGTACTTCAACTGATATATTGCTGGAGGACAGAACGCAGTATCATTTGCTACCCTATATTTGAGGTTAATCTTGTTATGCCCTTTGTATTCCTGCCCTGACAAGTAGTCCATATTCCTCTATAGCCTGAAACAGCTAGGATTGTATATTTTAGACCTAGAGGATCGAGGTCGAAACTATAAAATTGCAGGCTAGTAAATGTAAATACCTACTTTCCAAGACTTAGAGAAGAAACTTGTGCTTCAAGAGGGATCAGAAAATGTGTGCTTTTAAAATGAACCTTTTTAAACCTAAAACTCTACCGATGATGATTTTTTTTCTTTTCTTCTTAATGTCCCCAACACATTTTTTTCTTGCCATTTCTCACTCTGATGTGTGGATCCTGTAGCGTTTGGTTTTGTCACAAAAAGTTTGAAAAAGCAAAGCCTGTGCTCCATTCAGTCTTTCTTCTCACTTTGCCAGTCTCACTTGCAAACACCAATGGAATTTCCCATATTCAAAAGAATTGAAGGAAAAGATGGTGATAGAGAAACAAACAGAATTACTTTTATTAATAACAGAGTGGGAAAACTGATAGCAAATTGATGGCATAGGCTTATTAAACTGTTGAGAGTTTAAAAGCAAGGAAAAAGAAAAAAAAAAAGAACGGGTTTTTGCATCCCATGTTAACTGTAACAGGACAGCAAGGAATCAAATCAAATATTTCTGTGCCGAGGATGACTTCTTACCCTATAATTGGTTTTACAAAATTAAGAATTTTTTGTCTGTCTTCCAGTTTAATTATTGTCAAGGGAAACTTACTGAAAACTGAATGGGTATGTTCTTAGGGGAAAGTAAACATTTTAAATTAAAATTAACAGTCTTAATATCTCTACATTTAAAAAAAATCCATTTAAATTATGTCAGTGTTTAAAATTATAAAATGGGAAGAAATTGGAATTGTCTGTCCATCCAAAGATTAATGATGCAGTTCCTCTGCTGATATAAGCCTAAATCGCTTCTGAGCCAATATGTATTTCACAAAAATAAGAATGTCACACAGAAAGTATCATTGAAACTTGTGCTGTAATAGCTCTATAATGGTGGACTACAGAAGATCCAGTTCACAGTAAGGTGAAAAATCTGTATCCTCACAATGTAGGCAAAAACATACTTATGTTTAGTGGGTGATATAATACATCATCCTCACACTGCTAGACTATGAGCACAGCAATGTATGACAAAGCAGATGCTGGAATATGGAAGAACGGAGATAAAGCACAAGTATACTGGCAAATTTAGAGTGATTTAGAATAGGGGGAAGGATGCATGAGCCCAATTTTGCAGATAAAATACAGTAAAATCGCAGTTAATATTTTCTATGCTGGAATAAATCTTACCTGTTTCTGTCAGGCCAAAAGGACTACTGGTAGCAGAACTGATATTCAGAATTGAAAAATTATTTGGGAAATACACAGAACTCATTTCCCCAGGTTCTTTTTCCATCTGATTGCTATTCTCTCTAAGCAACTCTCAAGGACCCATTAAAATTACAGGGATATTGCATTAAGGAAGAAAAAATAACCTGTCTATTGTATATTAAAAATACTTTATTTTGTGTGCCTTTTTATTTACTCTAGTAGAGCAAATGAGATTGTCTCTACAACCAGGGATGTAGTTTTCATGACTGGGAGGTGTTAATAGACCCTTAACATCATGTAGGTAAAAGAGGATAGATTGAAACAGAGTTCCAGCCTTTTTTCTCCAAGAACCAGAGTATTTCTCCATATAGCTGTTTATAGTATTGAATGAATATTGTCTTTAAGGAAAAAATTACTTTTATGTTTCCTGAAGAATTTTTATTTAAGATAAGTAGCATTTTATACACATACACACAGTTTAAAAATGCTCACTGAGTTATGAAAAATTATCCGGACTGACAACTTGAACTGTAAGACTATTGCAAAATGGTCTCCCATGTTGCTGCAGGCACAGACAGCTTCCAAATTAGGGCAGGATGCCTATCCTTGTACCACATTAATTTGGTTGGCAAAGCGGAAAAATAGTGACAGCCTGTGGTTTAAAAAAACTGAGTCCTAAACCTCTGAATAACAGGTTTTATATTAGAAATGGCAGCTCAGCTAGGCGCTGCTGAAAGAAATGGTAATGATGATGGAAACTGTGTCTGCATTATGTACTGAAACCTTAAAAGTTGTGTGTTGCAAACATTAACTAAAAGGTTTTGTAACACCTACAGTTTTGCTTAAATCCAGTCGCATATTCAAGTACTATTTGCCTTCTATTAGATTCAACAATTGGAGTTACTAGTATAATTTTTAATAGTTTTTTATTTGCATTTAATAGACACTTGCGGCTCGAAAATCTGGTATTTCCATGGGCATGCTCATCCGAACCTCCATAAACAATGATGAAATGGTAAGTGTTTTCAATGGCAGGTTTAAGTTATTTAAATAACAAAGAAATTTTTGTTCAAAGCTCTTGAGAAACTGTTACAGCCTTAGACACTCCAAACTGGATAAAACTGAGTGTATAAGCATTCTGTTTATTGTGTAGGAACTTTCAGGGATCTTGAGCAGAATTTGCTGCCTGATCCAGAGTGACAAGACAGGTTTGCTTCTGGTGAGTCACATTCATGACAGTCAGAAGAGACTAAGCAAGAAACCTTTGTTTTACAAAATAGTTATTTGTGGAAATCTTTGATTTTAAAGATGTCCAGCTGCACCATGCTTTACCTGCAGCCTTTCAGCATCTGTCTCTCTTCATCCCACCATGAGTACAATTTGAATGACAGGGCTCTGCAAGAAGGTTTTTGTGTGATTATTGTTATTTTTCCTTGTCCATACAGGTGTTTGGGACATTACTTGATTTTGTAAATGTAACTCCTGCTAATAACACATGTGTTTCTAGATCAAGAAATATTCAGTTTGTACAAGAAGTGACTGGGAAAATCTTTTGAAAAATCATATGCTCGTAGGTAGTAAACACTGTGTGGTGTTGTTTTCCATTACTGACTTCAATTATATTTTGCAAAAGAAATTTATTTTAAGCAAAAAAAAAACCAAACAACCAGGTGCTATTTTCTTTAGGAATACTTGAAGTGTGATACAAGCAGATTTGCATGGTTGAACTATGCAAAAGCACTAATTTGAAGGAATATAACTTTGAAGAAACATAGCCTTCCAGAATATATCCTACATGTTGTTAAGCTCCATAGTGGAAGAATGGAAGAGAAGACTATGTTGACAGGTATTCTGAGAACTGAAACCCATAGCACAAGTACACATCCATCCATCACTTTTCTTTGCTTTACTGGGAAGTTTCTATGCTTATATGGTAATCATAAAGGAACAAATTGGTAGTGCTCAGGGGAACTGATGAGGTAGGAAACAGCTGGTGTTTGAAGTGATGTTTCTGTAGAAGCAGTAGTTATTTTGTTCTACTATCTCAAAATAGCAACAAGGGTTGATAGAATGAAGGAGATCTTCGGAATTTTAAAAAGAAGTTAAAGGATGAAGGAAAATTATAGAGAACAAACTTATGCCACGCAATTGATGCAAAATAAAGACTTTTTCCATCTAAAACTGCTATGAAAATATCTAAGTTCAGTAAAAGACCCTAAGATACTCCATATGCTTTACTAAAAGATGTCTACAAAACAAACGGATAAAACCATTTATAAGTATTACTACCTTTTATGACAATAAATATAGGTACAACTATTCCTCCCTATTATTACTATTCATACTATATTCCTCCACTCATACCAAAACTACTAGGCTGTGACTTTGGTGGGCTGAAGGTGCAAGTTTTGGACATACGTTTATAATATTAATTGCCAACAAATGTAGGACAAGAAAGAATAAGTTAGACAGGAATTACAGATCCCGACTTAGGTGGTACCATTTGGGAGGAAAAAAGAACGCAGCAAATCCCAGTGGACAGCTCAATGCAAACATTTCTCCAGTGCTTGCTGTCAATCAAGAGAAACTAATGAACTATGGCTCGGCAGAAATGGAGTGGGAAAAATAAGTTGAATGTATTTTTAAGCCATCATACTCTTTGGCCTCTGTTTGAACCAGGCCACATGAAAAATTGTGGTCCAGAAATAGGTATTTCTCAAGAAATCTTTAAATAAAAACATAAGTCCAAAGGCAGACAGCAAATACAATTTAGATACGTAAAAGCTCATTTGATGGGAAAATGTAAAAACAGGTGAATAAGGGAAGGCTGTCTTATGCCAGCCCTCACTAAACGTGCTAAAGGGAAGTGGGTACTCTTTCGAGGACAAATGTAATGGTACAGCCAGTAAAACCACTTGCAAGATATTTAAAACAAGCGAAAGGTAGTTCTTTTCTACTTGGTCGTAAGTAGCCAGCCGAACATACTGCCCTAAGGCATCATCAAAACTGAGTAAAGCAAGATTTGAAAACAAAAAGAACAGACATTTTCAGCCATAAAAGAACTCTCCAGATACTCTCCACAAAACCAGATGAAGAAGTGCAGTCACAGATGAGAGTTAAGAAAGAAAATCTCCTTTGGGCAAGTTATTACTCTGATTTTCGGTTTTCTGGTTTTGACTCTCCCTCAGCTTTTTCTGGAGGGAATATTAGTGACTGATGGAAGCAGGTTATTTGGCTGATTAGATTCAGAATGCTAATTCTTTGAGCTAATGCCTTTTATTAACTATCACTTAACTACAAACCTGAGGTTAAATGCTGTGAGCTTTGCCACGTGACATTGCTATCCTTCTGGTATAACATGTTCATGACACAGTGAGTTTGTATGTTCCCAGGCACTGATCCAACAACATTTTAAGCAGTATCGAAGTATTAACTTCACAGACATTAGAGAGGCTAGTATCTTGCATTTGGCATTTACTTAGCACAGCTGAATATTAAAATTACGGGGATGTTAACAAACGCTTAACTGAATAAGCCTTGCTTTCTATACTGTCAGAACTGTGGCAGTGATATTAAAGCTCCTAAGGACAAACCAATTCCAAAATGTTGTTCCCCGGTTTGCTACAGCTAGACAGCCAGCGCTACAGATGCATTGCATTATATACAAACAAGATGAAGGAATGGTAGAGCAGACAGACTTTAAGAAACACTTCCCAATGTGTTACATCTTTTAGTACCGTAATTTCTAAAAGAAGCAATTTATTCATTTATAAGGGAACAGGTCTAGAACTTCTGATGCATTCATGGCAGCCATTTGTACATTTAGTAGAGAGAGAAAAAAAAAGCCTTTTCATGTTGGGTTTTTTTTGTGGTTCTGAGTGCTGCCTGTGAGTTCCTGAGTTTTTCTTATTCCAAATAATCAACTGGACTTAGAAAATCTGGGTCCCTGAAAAAAAAGCTTGAATGAAAAAAAATCCCTAGACCATTGTGGCCATATAAGCCTATGTTTTATGTACAAAACTTTACGGACTACTTTGTTTCTACTTTGTTTTCTCATTATTGAGCACTAAGGAGCTGAGATTCAGGTTGTTTGCAGTACTAATCAGTGAATAGCTGATAGTTGTTCTCCTACTAGAACTGGTCATGTGTCCTAAGCCAAAACAGTCCAAGAAACAGGGTGGATTTTATAGATCATTGTTTGTAGGTAAAAAACATCTTGGTGCTTAAAAAGGAAGTAGTGAGTGTACTATTATAGGAATATGGACAAAATGGAACCAAGAAATTGGCCGCTTTTATTTGATGAGGATAGTACTGTATATAATCAAAGTACATTTTGTGCAGCATGCCAAAGTTCCTGTAGGAAGTATTTAAGCATTCTGAGGTAATGTGTTAGGTAGTTACTTAAAATGCATCAGTGAATGTAATGCTAATGATTTTTTTTATTTCTGCCTCAAAATATAAAACATATAGGACTCTGTTAATTGACTGACCTGATTCCAGCTTAACTCTCCTGTTTCTGTAATCAGTCAAAACAATCATCTAGCGTTCTTTTGTCTTCAAAGTGCAAGGCAAAATGAGTAAATCAGTATTTTGCAAATTAGTTCATACTTCTATGTTTATTCTGATATTTTGCAGCATTGCAAGTGCAATGACACTTTAGCTCTAGTTCACTTGCACTGAACAATACTTCAACCAAAGTCTTGATTATTATTTTTTTTTACCCAACAGAAAATACATGTTTTCAAGAAGACACTGCAGGCTTTGATCTATCCAATATCATCAACTACACCTCATAACTTTGAAGTTTGGACAGCTACAACTCCTACATACTGTTATGAATGCGAAGGTCTACTTTGGGGCATAGCCAGACAAGGCATGAGATGCACCGAATGTGGTGTCAAATGCCATGAGAAGTGCCAAGATCTTCTAAATGCTGACTGTTTGCAGAGTGAGTATTTCCTGACAGCTAAAGCTTTGCAATATTTCACACCTTTTGGTTTTGTGTGTACACTCAGATATTTCTGGCAATGAAGGGCCAGATAATCAGAAATCAGTAAAGGCATGTTGATGTTCATTACCTGAGGAGCTAGCCAGAAACTTTATGAAATACCTACTGTTAATTTCGCTTTTGTCCTTTGAAATAGCTGAATGTTGCTGATCAGTTACAAAATGATGTTTTGTAGCATCAGTGTATTATTTACATTCCACTGCCTATGGCAACACACAGAACAATTTGTTACATTATGTAAGCCCTTTTTGTTTTATTTAACTCGGAACACAAGAAACGTCAAAGCAAAGATTTAAAAATATATATATTATTCATGCTTAGTGTTGCCATATTACTATGCTATAGAATAAAGAATATGAAACAGTAAATAGGATCTTGTCCATTCAAAATACCAAACCATGTATATGTAAGGAAAAAAAAAAGTAGTCAGGAAGTCCTTTGGAACTAGAATTAAGGTGAAACAACTTCTTTCTTTGCTTTTTCATTGGCTAAATTGATTCCAGCTGCCATGCATTCTACTCCAAAAATATCTGAGGTGCATTGAAACTATACTTGTATTACAACACAATTACTACACAAGATTCTAAACAATAGAAAATCAAACCCTGAAAAATTTCTGATATTCTGATTTTGGAATGGAAGGGGCTTTTGCAGTTCTGGAGTTATTACATATTTTTCACTGTTGATATGGTCCTGAGGGTTTACCTAGCTTCTACATGTAGGAAAAGTACATAGATATTCCACTCAGGTCTTCTTTCTTCACACTGTGTTCTCTATGGGAGGAGCTCTCACAATGGACCGAGTCTCAAGATTCATATTGTGCAGGAACTAATCACAATTTCCCAGAGCAACTGACCCTGTAGAGCATAAATCAGTGACAAATTTCTAAATCAAACTGCTTAACTGTGCTTAATTGTGATTCTGCCCTGTAGTTGAAACTGTGTTTGACAGCTAAGCTTTTGACATAGTTTCACAAGTGAGAAAAGAACGTTTGCTTTGAAAATAGAATATTATAGAAGTATATTTCAGAAGAATGTGCAGAATTAATATGATTGGTGGTGGTGAATTTTCAAAAGAATATAAAGTAATGAAGATATTTGTGAATAGATTCTGCAAATAGCTTTTGTTTCTTGGATGGTAACAAAAAAGGTATGCTTTCATAGTGTCAGTTTCTCTTCAGTCTTATTGACTTAATTGCTCTACTTTGTCCTAGGTGCATTTTAAGACTAAAAAATAATTAATTGCACAACAGCCCATTGATCTCTCTGGTTTAGTCATTTGACACCCTAGTTCTGCTGAGAATCACTTGGCTTTTATTACCTGGACTTAGACTCATGAAAATGAGTTAAAAGAACAATGAGCTTGTACTTCTGCTGGCAACAGGATCTGTGCAAGTCATTTGCCAACTAACTTATTAAGTTTACAGAGGAAGTAGGAAGTAGAAATAGCTTTCCTAAATTTAATCTCTCCCTTTATGCACATCTTGTTTAGCACTATTTATATATAGGAGGAAGAAAACATGGAGGAAAGGCACTGAATTGATTCTGATATTCCCAAAATGGAATGTGGGATTCACCTTGTAGGAGGGCCTCAAAACAAATCTGTATGGATCGTAGTGGCTCTAATTGAAGTGTACTCCCTGCACATTCTTCAAGGAATTGGGCTACTGCTGGATTTGGAGCTACTTTGCTAGGACTCTTGCTGATCTCTGAAAATACTGATTGTATTCTGTGGCAAAGAGATAACTATCAAGTGTTCTATACAGTGTTATGGGAATTCCCCTATTGTAATTACACACACATTGGTCTAGAAATAAAGCATAGTTAACATTTTCTCCATCAGAAGGGGACTTTTTCTGAGGATTTAACAGAATAGCATATCATGTTCTAACACATTGTTTCAGAAATATCTTTAATTTAAGAAAATCAAAATTGATTCACTCCATGAGTGAGACACATACAAGACATCTTGATTTAACAATAGCGTCATGAAGCAAAGATCAAATGGTTATAAGCATTGTAACTATGTGTTTGGAAGAACCTTTCTGTTGCTCTTAGTTGGGTTCTTCTTAACACACTGATCATCTGTGAAATCCTTCCTCTTTTCCACCGACCTAGTTACTGCACACCATCCAGTCCCTTTTTTAATTCCATTTGAAAGAGTTGGGAGGGTTTTTGTATTGGAAATTTGATATGGCAAGGGCATTTATTTCTGTCTCATGGATCATCTATCCTGTAGTGCACTCTACTAAGTACAGCACAACAAAGATCAATGGTGCATTCTAAAGAAATACCTCACATCCAGTCATTCCTGATTTTAAGAATATTTAGATCTGATCTTTAGAATTTGGATTCATTTTTATCAGAGAAAACAGCAGTTAAAAAAAAATCTGCAGAGTGAAAACCAAAAACTTCCCAGGATGCCTGTGGAAGCTAGTGTATATGAAGTATAGCATTTTAATCTATTTCTGCTATTTGAGAGAGTCACAGTTCAAACAGGAATTGTTATTAAAGCTATTTCTGCTCAGTTATAAAAGCGTTGTGAGAAAAGCAAGATCTGAGATCGTGTCCCTGACGATACCAGGGTTACAAGTTTCTTGCAATCCTTATCTCGTCCATGATTTCTCATAATAGAGAATGGTTAGAGAGATTGTTCTTTCTGAGGCTTCTTCAAGTGATGAAATCACTTGTCACTCTACACACCAGAAAACAACATTCAAGCCAGCTGGGCTTGAGTGTAATACCTTTGTATTTCTGTTTGCTTGCTTGACCTACAATTTGGTTGCACTTCAATTCCTTCTGAGCAGGAGCCCAGGAACTGATTCCAAGTTTATGTTGCCATGGAGAGCTGGGTTGTTGTTACCACTCCAAATCTGTAATCCTTTCCCTGTGTGGTGAAACCCCTTAGGTGACCATGCTTCTTCCTGTTCCACCCTTCCCACTGTCAAGGAAATAAGCTGCTGCTAACTTTGTAAGAGCTGAGCTGCTTTTCATGAAAGGTGTATGCACTCCTGTAATAGTTGAATCTTGGCTAAAACTGAAAAGCTACAAAAGACACACAGAGTAAAATTATCCTTTTTATCGTCCTTTTCACTTTTCTGAAGAAGAACTCAGCCCAGAGGTTCCCTGGTCCGTATCATCAGCCCCCAAAAAACTTAACAAGGAGTTCAAAGCACCATATTGCCTTTGAAGAAGTTTTACAAATATATAAATGATAAGGGTGAGAGAGAGCCTGCAAAAAATAAATAGGATTGGCTGTGGTGTAAACAATTTGGCAACACTGAACAACTGAGTCTTGAAAGAGTGAACCTCTAGAAGGCAAACTGCAGATAAAACAGTATTTAACACACCTAAGGGATCCTGATCTTCCCATTAGTACACAAATGTTTTTGAACATCCTGTCATAACTTTTGTATCAGATTAATTGTTCAAGGAGTTTGAATATTATACTACTTTGAAAATGAGATTCACATACTTTGTTCCGTTTATGTTAAAAATATTTAATGTTCCATTGAAAAAATGAATTGACCAGTACAGTTCGTTATATCTCAATTTCTAAGAAAGCCAATGTTAACCATTTTATAAAATAAATTAATGGGGTACACTGTGGTTATTTTTATCATAGTCATCGATTTGGCCATCTCATAATCACTAGGGCATACAGGCTGTGATTTTTTTTTTTTTTTTTAAATATATGTAATGATTGCTAATGTAGATTATAGAAATGAATTAACATCTCAAGCTCTTTAAGGTCAATATCTAACTTGTTCTAAATTAGGTTTAAAAAAATCAGTAGTACATTCATTAGACCTCTCATCTTCAACAAGATACCACTTTCTAGTAATAGGTGCAATATTAAATCAGAATCGATTTCAACCGTGTTGAGTTTGTATCAGTCCCTAGGGTAAAAAGGGCTTGTTAACTTCCCGTGCAACATAAGTTACTATATTGTCTTAATTAGTCTGATCAATACTGCATGAAAAGAGCTGTAGACTGTCAGCAATAAGGATGTAAAAATAGCTGCAATAAATAATTTAGTATAAATAGAATATGCTGATTTTTCAGTAAAACTTTAAGGAAGTTGCATTTGAATGCATATTCCAATTTTATCTTTACTCTCTCAAACATCATCAAGGTTTTTAAAATGAATACATTATTGCCATTCAGATTTATTTCAACATTTGTAATACCATTCTGACCACACAAGTCTGATGGTTTTTTCCTCAAGCCCAACTGCAAGATGGACATTTGTTTTTTTTTCAAGACTACACTTAGGTTATTCCAATACAACATTTATTGTAGAGACATTGATCAGAAACATTTTCCTCTGGCAGACAAAGGATATTTTATGAGGAGGACTTCACTTAGGCTTTTCAAGGGCCTCTGAGATCAGTTATGATTTTTGGAAAGAGAAATCTCTCCAGAGCTCTCTTGGGAAGAACTGTGAATAAAATCTGTAACAGCATGGCCTCCTTATACTCTGCTTCCTCCCCCCTCCTCGCCTTTTTTTTTTTTAACCCAGTAAAAGCTGTAATGGTTTTCATCTCCCAAACAAATCAGCAAAATACCTGAATGTTTTCTTTGCTTTCCAGACTTATTTTATAGGATAGACCTGACATACCACTGCAGGTTACTACAGTCTGAAAGTTACTCTCACACAGAAGATATCCTTTGATCTCTTCTACCATCCTCATATACTTACTTGAAATGAGCAATACTGACAGTTTTACTGGAGAAAGGAACCTGTCTGTTCTATACATGTGATATATTATTTTCTTAGGTGATCAACCAAGAAGTTTTCCAAAAGGCTCTGAAGTTTAATGCCACACAAGCCCAGGTGTAATATGTAATAATTGAGTTTTAATATCACTATTAAGTGCCTGCTGCTCAGCTTGCTTCCTTTCTTTTTTTCTCTCTTCATGCCCCTCTCCTTTTTTTTCTTCTCTCTCTTTTTGTTGCTGCATCTCAGAACTGACCCTGCAGTAGTTGTGTTCTGTCACTGGGTTTCCAACTGCATGCTGCAAGCCTTCATAGCAAAGCAATAAATTTCTTTCTTGAAAATATATTGGTTTTAGTTAGGAGGTTCTCTGCTTTCTGCTGCCATGTTGTTTATATCTATTAATACGTCTGCATCTTTCTATTTCTTCTTTCTTTCTATCTCTTAAGAGGAAGGAGACTACAATTCTCTCCCTTGAATCCAATCTCTGGCCTGCAGCTCTTAAGAGCTGAGTAATGCAGGTTCACATCACTCTTAGTACGATGAATTTGAAAAATTAGATTTCATAAGAATCTCTATCCTCATCTTTTTTATTTGTGTCTAGTAGATATAGTATTTGTTGCAGAAATTCCCTGGGTGGTTTCAGTGTTAGATTTATTGGAAAATAATTCCTTTTATTCAACTGCAACATGAGTATAGTGTCATGTCAACTCTTTGGGAGACAGGGTGGGCTTAAATAGCCCACAGATTCTGCTGTTAACATGGAGCTTTGTGAAGCACTCCTTTCTTCATACATGATGTTTGAAGAAGGAATAGAGTGTACTACTGATCCAGAGTGAGGATGTCAAGTCAGTATAACTGAAGTGTTTCATGGTTAGGGTAGTCCCAAGCTAATCTAAATGCTTAAATCTAGTGAATGCTTAAGTTCAGTAGATTTTTGAATGCTTCATTAAATGGATTTGTGTGATAATGTTTTGTATGAGCACTGTTCCAGGAAGGAACAAAAAACTTTATATGAGTGCAGCTAACATCAGCAAACATTGAAATGTATCCAGAAACAGTCAAGAAAGCATCTGAAGCTGCTATGCCTATCTTTTTCTACTGTTCATTAGATTTCCACTGTGCGAGAGCAGGAGTCGAGATTAATCTCCTTAATGTCAAACTAAAAATTCTCTGAAAAATGAGGAGGAAGCATTACTTGGTTTAAATGGAGCAAGTAGGGTTTCCAAAAGGAAAGAGAGAAACGACTTAGAAAAAAAAATTAAGAAATTATTGAATATCTATTCACATATGCATCATTGAAGTGTAGCTCATAGCAGAGGCAAAGGGCAGAGCAGACAGACCCACGTACTGAACACTTCTCCACACCCTTCTGGTGGAATCGGTGTGCCCATACTGATTCCGGCAGGGCTAGAGCTAATTTTCCCCAGTCCCTGGCAGGGACACAGATGCTCCATCCCCGTGTGAGCCATGCCCAGTGTACAGCCCCGAGCGGGACGGGGAGGGGGCAGAAAGTCGACGCTGAGGCTTCTCAGGTCCGGTGGGCGGGAGGTGGTGCAGTAATCAGGTCTGGACATTCCTCTGTCAGTGTCAGTGTTGTTGGTTGCCTGCTCCCTTAGCTGTTCTGTTAAGCTGCCTTTGTCTGAACCCATGAGTTTTGCTTTTCTCCCTCCTAGCTGCAGGGAGCTGAGAGAGCAGCCACGTGGTCCTTCGTTGCCAGTTGAGACTAAAGCACCACAGTGCCTAATTATGTAAGAAAAGTTACTGGTGGTTTAGGATGTTTTCAGGGTATTGATTAGTACTGAGCAGTAATGATGCAATATATTTTTCTACGTATAACACATACCTGATTGAAGTTTTATTGTCATGTTACACTAAATCGATAATATTAGGTATCTTAGGTATTTTAGAATGACTATAAGAGGCTTGATATTATCCACACGAAACACATATCTTCTTTGAGTACTGCAATGCTAAGAATTAACTGGAGACTTCGGAGGAGAAAAAGAATTAGTATTGACCTTTTTTTCTCATTTCAGGAGCCGCTGAGAAAAGTTCCAAACATGGTGCAGAAGATAAAACACAGAATATTATTAGTGCTATGAAGGAAAGAATGAAGATTAGAGAGAAAAATAGACCAGAGGTGTTTGAAGTGATCCAGGAAATGTTTAATATTTCCAAAGAAGATTTTGTACAGTATACAAAAGCAGCAAAACAAAGTGTTTTGGATGGAACATCCAAATGGTCAGCAAAAATAACCATTACAGGTACATTTTCTTCTAAACCGTTTGCTCTAAGAGCTCTTTCTTTTCTAGTCCCCTGGTTCAGGAATAAGATTTATTATAATTAGAGCTGGAACTGTGTGTTCAATTGCATACTTGATGTCTTTATAAATGGTTGAACTGGAAGAGTTTTAAGTTACAGCTATTGGCAAAACAATTTTATATTCCACTGCTCTAGGATGGAAGTAAATGGTCTTGTGTCTCCTCTACCTCCTACTAATATTTCTTGAGCTAGTGCTGAACTTTTCCCCTCCAATGGGAAGAGTTAAAGTTCATGATTGCGTTTATGGGTTTTAATGACTGTAATGCTAAGAACAGTGCAGCTTGCAATTCCAGACCCCATTGATTTGGAACTCGTCATCCGTTCTTGTTGCTTGATTGAGGGTGTGTTCCAGTTTAGTGATGCTGAGCCAGGGAAACCTGCACACCCAGAACATGCTCAAGATTGCTTCCAGTTGCATTAGGCTGGTTGCTCATAAAGATTTCCAGGTTGTCTGACTTTGACATTTTAGTTTTTTAATTAAAACCTTAGCACAGAAAATCTGAATGAAAACTCGGCTGACTACACAGGTCAACCTGACTTTATGCAATACTGGATTAGAGACAAATGGAGATTAAAGTAAGAGACCAAAGAATTGAAAGGAAGCTATGTCAAACATTAAGGCCTCCTGGTTAGATTTCACATCTAAATTAGCCTCAATTTCTTTTTAATGTCATTAAAATTAGTAAGTCCTCTTCTGATACTAAAAGTAAATTGATTGTTTTCTCTTTCTCCAGGATTTACGTTATTCCTGTTAGGGGGATAAGGACATAAGCTGTAGAAACTTTTAGCTTTTACTAGCCAGTTTCTGTAAAAATGAGTAAATCAAAAGTTACAGTATACTTAAGTAACATGCTCACTTTTCTCACTAATTAACAGCAGTTAAGTTTAAGTCTGTTCTTGCCACTTGATGTTTCACACCTGTATATATGGTAATTTTCCTAATGTATTTTACAAGGTATTTTCCATATATACTCTATAAGATCAAACACACACATGCTGTTAAAAAAGATGCAGGAGCATCCTTTACTACTTTTTTTTTTATGAAACAAGTGACTAGGATACCCTGAGAAGATAGATGGCATTATTTTAGCAAGTTACTCAGTAAATGTGCAACTGTTTTCAGACTCTATGTGAGGGGTAAACATCACTTTACCCGTGTTGGTACAAAGCTCGCTTACATTGTTGAATGGGTTGGTTCATCTCTTTTAGAAGTAAAATTCATACTGACTTGAGCTCTGCAGAATCATGACCTAATAAATGAATCATAGAATAGTTTAGGAACTGATGTTGGAAAGGATTTCCACAGTATACTCAAACCTTCTGCTAAAAGCAGCACTAACTTCAAAGTTAGATCAGCTTGCTCAGGGCTTTGTCCAGACTAGATTTGAAACTCTCCAAGGATGGAGATTCCACATTCTCTCTGGGAAACCTGTCCTGCTTACTGAAAAATCTGTTTCAGTTATTAAGCACTCATGTTGTAAAACTGTTTTCCTTCTACCCAGCTGGGATTTCTCTTGCTGCAGTTTGCAGCTGTTACATCTTATTATTTCACTGTGTGTCTTTGAGAGAATTCTGGCTTCATAGAATCATAGACTGGTTTCAGATGGAAGGGACCTTTAAAGGTCATCTAGTCCCAACCGCCTTGCAAGGAGAAGCAACATCCTCAACTAGATGGGCTCCTCTGGGAGCTCATTGTCTCTGGGATGTGCTCTTTAGGTGGTTGAGGATTGCAGCTTTATGTCCTCTTACTCTTCCTCTTCTCCAGGATAAGCAAATCCAACACCCTTAACCCTTCCTTATATGTCACATGCCTCAGTCCCCCAGCCAAACTGGCAACCCTCCATTGGACCTTCTCCAGTTTGTCAGTCTTGTCAGTCTCCTTTACTGGGGAGCTTCAAAGTGCAGAAACAATATTTCATCTGGGTTTGGCCTCACAGGTGTCAAATAGATAAACACTTCCTTCAGTTTGCTGACTGTACCCTGAAGAAAGAATGCAAGATTCTCTCTTCATGAGAGAATTTCCTACACCAAGTGAAGAAATTTAGAGGCAAACTTAAGCTAATTGCTGTATCTTAAAGAAAGATGGAAAAAGAATCCAGAATTCCTGAGAAGCGAAATATTAATAGGGTATGGTAGCAGTCTTTCCTTGCATTTGTTTGAGATGTGTACTTCCACATAAACAGCCTGGTATATAGTGTGTCCCAAGTTACAGAAGACTGCTAATTCCTTCCCCGACTAGCATCATGCTCTACCCATCGTTAAAAAAAAATTAAAAAATAAAAATGGGAGTTTTGATCTGCGTTCACACTTTACCCCGAAGTTCCGAAGCCAGATTGCAAGGCATTTGCTGCAGTCAAACTTGGTAGGTGCTGAGGACTTCTGTACAGTCTTACAATGCTTAATAATACTTCTTACAATACTTAATAATTAGATGGGGAGTGACCATGAAAATCCTCTGTACTTCACAGAGGTTTGCTGGTGATCACATTACAAAGTGTTAGAAGAGTTGTTGAACTTAAAAGATGAGTAGTGCATTTTTCTCTTACAAAAAGACAAATATTTCAAATTTGCTGATTTTTTTTTTTCTGTAATGACAAGTGGCTGTCAGTAGTATGCTACTTAGGAGACATTTGTGAAAAAAGAAACATATTTAAAGTGTCCTTTCAAGGTGAAGGTGACATTTTAACAATGAATGAGAAAGTAACTGCTTTTTGAAAGAAACTTGCTATGGTGAGAGCATTATGGAAATGGACGTTTGGAAATGTTTCCATCGTTATGTGACTTTGCAGTGAAAAACAATGTGTTTATCACCTACAAAAGCTCTAATCTGTACACTTAGAAAACTTGGAAATGAAATTTTCTACCTTATTTAAAAATATTCCAAATGACAAATTCCAGTGGGTTTTTAACTTATTTGCTAAAAATATAAAAATGCAGCACTTCCCAATTAGTTTTCAGGAACAACTGGTTGACAACAGGCAAGATAGAAATTTACCAGCTGAATTTCAAGAAAAAAATTTGTGTAATTGGTAGATGGAAGTGAAAAATTATTGTAGTGAGTTAGTAACTACAAACAATGATGCACTGCTATTTGGATCTACGTATCTTTGTGAGGTATCTTTTTTCAGATATGACAGCCATGAAAACTGAGTACAAAACTGGACTTAGACCCAGATCTTCAAAATACTGTATCACACAGTGATATTTTCAAAAGTAATGCAGCATATTCAATCACATGCTCTCACTAAAAATATTTGTTAGTAATTTTTTGTGAGAGCCAACAGAGGGTTTTTTGATATTAAAAAAAGTTTTTAAAATATTTTTACAATATTGATTATTTCATCTTTGTCTCTTTTTTTTTTTAATTTCTGGGTTTTCTGTATGTTTTATAATGTACACAATGTTTTACTACAGTGGTACATGTATATAATTTGTAAATAAATACATTAGGGTTGCATGCTCAAAAAATTTTACTAAAGTACTTTTACATTACATCGCACTTTAAAAAATATATCGGGGAAGGGTCATTGAGAGCTGGAATTGTTGAAATGTAAAGCTGGCATTCAGGAGGGGAAGGAGAAGAGCATTTGTCAAGTGAATCATGAATGATTTACTCTGAGAGTTAGTAGATGTGCTTTTGGCTTCGCACGGCTCTGTAGTCCAAACTAAAGCCCTATCACATTAGAGGCAGTACCTAAACTCTGCATGGAGCTGAAGAATAGCAGATACGTGCCAGAAGAGCTTTAGGGGAGATCTGAGATTATGAGTCTCATGAATTAGGAAAAGGGGTGGCAATTCTGAAGGTTGTAGGGCAGTGCATGAAACTCAAAAGAATAGCTGTTGAATCTTGGGACTGTCACCAAGCACTGGGGATGTGGAGAGGTATGTCAGGGAAAATATTTAATTCATATCTTTACTTTCAGCTCTGCCTCTAAAGAATACTTGAGGCTGTCATGTATTCAGGCCAGTACAGTATTAACAATTCTGGAAGACATTTTCTACGTTGGCACCTAATTCTCCTGCATAAATAGGATAGGGATTCTTCCCTGCCTTCTAAAAATTTCCCCTTGGGTTTGCAGTGAATGGGGAAGACAAAATGTGTTCTGTGTCATTTTCAAGAGTTAGTCTTTTCAGGAATGAGATGTGTAAAAAAAGTAACAGAAATTTACTTTCTTTTCACTGAAGTCAGCGGATACGGCTGAACCCACACTGGGAGCTGATTTGCTGAGTAAAAAGGTGCCATTTTAATGTAATCATTTTCCTGAGCACACGGGGGGAGCTTCATTATCCAAAATGATTGACATTGAAGAATGTTAACTAAATGTTACCACAGAGATGATTTAAATACTATGCGCAAAATAATAAAACCAAGTTCTGCGGTGCTAGGAGCCATGGCAAGTGTTTTAGCTGCAGCTCTCAGGGTTTGGTAGGCTGCTATTTGACAGTTCTGCTTTCTCCTGAGGTTTCCAGTTTTATGAATTATGATGGACACCCAAATAGTGTGTATTTATATTTGCCTTAAAATGCATATACACCCACATTAACTGTCAGAAAGACTGACAAATACATAAACAGTTAAGGATAATTGATGTGAACTGTCACCTTGTCTGTGATAGAATAGAACGTATGCTGAAAATCCCCATGGTTCATCTCTCACTTGAGGAATACAAATGACGAAGTCATAACCATGCCCCTCATGTTTAGTTTCATAATCCGTAGTGCAGATTTTTAAAAATTGGAGGTTTTAGTTTGAATCTGTGGAAAAAGTTTGGAAATGTTTATTTACTTATTTACTGGGGTGGTGGTGGTGGAAATTTTAGGGAATTACTAGAAAAGCCAAGTTATACAACAGCATTATATTACTTGTCATGCTGATTAAACCAAAGTTTGAGAAGAGTATCCGAATTATGGATGGCAAAAAAATATTTGTGTTGTGCTCTGTTGCGAATTTAAATTTACTACTCTACTAAAACATATTTGCAAATTTCATACACTCCAGAAGGGTAATTAGACAAGCCTTGTCTATCTCCAGGGTAACTGACACTGAGAAAATTATTCTAGAAAGCTTTAATTCAAGAGTCCTCCTGTTTGAGGGCTTTGTTTCCTGTTGCTGTTGTCAGTGTGTCATTTATTTCTTGGCAATGAAGGCTGTGAGGGCTGAAGCATATTTCTCTCCTTCTATTGCAGTTCTTTGTGCTCAGGGCTTACAGGCTAAGGACAAAACTGGCTCAAGTGACCCATATGTTACTGTGCAAGTGGGCAAAACCAAGCGGAGAACAAAGACTATTTTTGGAAACTTGAATCCAGTATGGGATGAAAAATTCTATTTGTAAGTACAGAAAATACTGTTGTAAAATTAGCAAGCTCTGAATGGAGAGATCATAGAAGTTTATTGTGACTTTATGATTTAGTACTCATGCAGCTCATAATAATGTCTTTCAGGGGGATCTGTTGGTGATGTCTATTTATTCTAATTTTTTAGGGAACTTAAGTAATGGTTTTCAGACTTTGACGTTACATACTAAATGTTAGCATTACAAATGCCTTTGTATGTCTCAGATACTGACCGTGCAAGTTAAATGCATTTTTACTCAACATTACGATTCTCCTAGGTGAACCTGGGGAATTTGATAGTAACTGGTATGCTCCAGACTTCAGGCTGAGCTGTTTGTAATGTCTGTCCTTTCCAAGACTGAGTGTTGTTCAGAAGTCTGATGTGGAGAGTATGGTACAATCCTCCTGTCTCCTTTCTTTGGCCCCAGCCTCTGAACTGAATATGGTATAGTTTGTTGTCAGCATATTGTGGAAGTTCAACCCTGGATGCAAAGTAGATGTTTCAGGATGTAATACATCGACTAAGGTTTGAATTTGATTTCATGCCAGTTCTAGTTCTGGCAATGTTCCTAGAACTTCTTTCAGAAAGACATGTTACAGTACAGGAAATTTCAGTTCACAGATCCTATACTGTTTCTTTCCTGAAAATATTGCCTTAGTATTCTGCTACAGGTTTCTGACTGAGATTGTGACCAATCTGATAATAGTATCAATTTGCCCAGTGTTATTGCTCTACAGGTAGCAACAGTATTTCAGCATTTATGCTTTTCTCAGCTTGATTATGTGCTTACTAAGTTCTACAGTATATGATGAGGACTCTAATATTGTTAAAGTCGATTAAAGATTCTGAAAGGCTAAGATAAACCCTAGATTTTCTTTGGAAAACTTTATGTGAAAGAGAACTGAACAATTTTTTAAATTGTTCAGAAGAATTCCAGTCTACCCTGCAAGCACCTACCACGGTATTATCATATGAAGTTAGTAGGTATTTTATAGAAGCTGTGTGAAAACACTACTATAGTAAATTATAAAAAATTATAAAAAGAAGAAATTATAATAATAAAAAAGGATATGCGATTTCAATGTTTGTTAAATACGACAATTTTATTTGCATTTTTACTTAGAACATATGCAAACTGTTGACAAATTATAATAATCTAATCTGGTACTATGTTATAAAAGTCTAATGTGTTTATGCCTAATAGTCCTATTCAAAATTGGATGTTAATTTGATACTACTTGATGAAACCTTGTATTGCGGTGATAAAAATTGTGTGTTACTTTTATTAGCAACCCAGAATTTATGAAGCAGCAGCAGAACAGCTCAGGATACTGCAGACTGCCAGTCAAGATTCAGAATCTCTAGTTAGTTGGTGTATGCAACAGACAAGTTCAAAATAACCACTCACCACAATGTGAAATTGTTGTCTTCAGTCTATAACACTGTTTGGTCTCTTTTTACCTTCCTTTCCTCCTATAAGGAAGACATCAGTTGTCATTATTCCTATCTACGTAAACCACGGAAACAATTTCTGTTAGGGTTCAGACATTTGAAGTAGAACTCTCTTTTCTTCAAGAAGGTGCAGTGTCATAACAGGAGAGTTTACCTTCTTATCATGTAGTACAAGTTTGAAAGGTGCGACTCAAGAAGCCGCTTCTGTTTGTCTGGAAAAGGTGCTGGGTAATCAAACTATATTAAACAATGTATGCCCATTGCTTTCACAGATTTGAAGGCCAGTACTAGAAATTAATAGTTAATTCAGAGAAAATACACACTCAGAAACTTTTTACAGGCCTCCCCTATACAGATCATGTTTTGGTTTTGAGTTGTGTTACTCCAGTAACCATTGAAGGGTCATAACTCACTAGCTGTCAGTAACCAAAGGTAGGAGACTAATTACTTTCTTACATTTAATTGTATGAGTTGCATAGTGTCAAATGTTGGATGAGCAATTCAGCAAATTTGGTATGAATTTTTAAATATGTTTTCACAAAGATGTGAGCAAGGCTACTGTAAAAGCCCTGGAAACTTGAAAATACTATATTAATTTTTTTTGCCCAGCACTAGGTATTACTATCATCTGCTGCTCTTGCAATAACATTAATCAAAAATCCCCATTTACTACAGCATAAATCTCTTGAGTAACCACTTTGAACTGAATACATTTTCAATCATTTTATAGCACTTGTACTTTATAAAATCAAGTTATCTCTCTGACTTATTTAATGCATTGGATTTCAGTTGAAAGTATATGAGGATTTCTAAAGTGTATTAAATAAACTATAAATGTTTAACCACAAGATTAAATCCAAAGTAGATCAATATAACTATTTCATTGACTCAGGAAGTTTAAATTAAATTAGGCTCTACTAGTGATATATGATAGTCCTATTTAAAATCAAATACTAACCATCATTATAACTCCTAAATGATAAATTGCAGAAATGAAATCTGTCTCAAAATCTTACAAACATACAGTTACTCATAAAACCAAAACATCCATTTAAATCTTCCCATCTGTTCCAAAACAAGGACTTGGAAAAAACATTGGCTCCCCACTGTGCATTTGCTCTGCTGCAGCAGATAGAGTGAGGGCCATGTTCTGGTTTGCAGAGTCACACATAACCCTAAGATGACTGTATGGTAAGCGGAGAGTGAATGTTTCTAACAAACCCTAACATAACCCTCTGCTGAATGACCATGGGATAGATTTTAACATGGGGACTCATAAACTGTAACTAAAGTAGAGCTTAAGTACAGGTGCATGCATCTCAGTATAAAAGCAAAACATATCTTTGCTTGAAATGTATGGGTTTTGTGCACAAGATAGAGAATTAAATAGGCCAGCAGATGCTCTTCTAATGAATGTAATATAGGTTGTAAGGACTTCAATCCTTTCTATTGGCATTATTAGGTAAGAGATAACAGATTATTTTTTATTTTTTCAATAGAACAGTGATGGAGAGTTTTTCAGTGCCAGAGCAAAGGAAGAGTCTTGCAGTTCTGTTACCTTCCTTCTTCTGGTTGAGCGTGGCATCTGATATAGGAAAAGGAACTGCATTTTTAATTTTTAGTTACAAGGATGAGATATTTTGGCAGTATAGTTTTCAGTTTTGTACAGGCTTTTAGATCAATACAGCGTAATAAAACTTCTCAACTCTTTTCTTGACTTTTTTCAACATCTGATTGCTGAAATATGGAAATCTGTTTTTTTTTCATGTTGCCTAACAAGCACACGTATCCAAAATACCTTGCAGACTTTGCAGGTGCCACGTTTCCTCTGACAGCTCATTAACACCCCAGATACGGTTGTATAACACAGAAATCTTTCATATAACTGGATGATTTTTTTACATTACATATTCTTTCTATTTTGGCCATCACTAGGCCACCATATGTCTCTGATAAATAGCTTCATTGGATATCTATTGCTCCTTTCAGAGCATGAAAACCTTTGATCCAATTTGTTTAAATTAGGTAAATGAGAAGGATTTTTTTTTGAAGACTATGATGACCACCTGGCCAATATAATCACCATCACTAAACTGTTAGAATTTGTCTGATTTCTGATGTTTTTGATGATTTCCTGGTGGTATACTGAAAATATTAATGCAGACATAAAATCCAATAAAGAGATTTACAATTTATCACAGAAAAAAAATAAAATACTTGTTTGTTCAAACAAACTAGATTGTTGCTGAGAATTCTTACTGCTATATATTTTAGCAGATAATACTGGGGAAAAGTATCATTTAGCACCAAGCAGAATTGGTGCTGTAGATTAGAGACCATGGTAGTTAAAGTCTCTAGTCAGAAAAGCTGTTCAACTGCTTCATGTTTCAGATATTTCAGTCTAGACGTTCTGATGAAGTGAAAATTTCTGGCAGCTATTTCAGGCATCCAGCTGCGGATCTTCTTTCCTTAGAATTACCTAAAAGAGCAAAACTCACACAATTTATTCATACTGCAAAGGAAGCCATTTGTGTATTCATTTAAAGCAATACTTACTATAAGCAGCCATGTATAGGGAATAAATAAAACAAGACTACCTTACCAAAGTCCTTTCCTACTATCATTTTATGCATTCTTGATCAAATGAACTGACTTTTAAGAAGGGTAATCTTCACTGTACCTAAGGAAAACAGGATTGTTTAACTTTTTAAATGGTGTTCCAGTTTCTGGTGATATCTAAACACAGTCTTGTAAGTATTGTTGAAACAACTTAAGGATTATCTCATAAGCAAGAGTATATAATAGAGAACTATACTACATGAATCCAATTGGGTACTAGAAACCTGCAAATTAGTTTACTGGGTTTATCCATTCTAAAAATTCCTCAATAAGCAGTGAAGTCTCTGAGAGACATCCTACTAATTAAAATACTGTATCTTACAGCCTCAGCCCAAACCAAGTCAGCATAACACCTCTAAGAACAAATTAAAATGATAAATTGTTTGTTTAGCAATAATGTTTTTCAGTTTCACAGTACAGCAAGTTTGGTCTGAGTCTTTTTTTCAAACTGCTGTCAATCCAGGTTAATTTTGCACAATTCTCTTTGTTACAACAGAGTAAATTAATGCAAGAAAAAGCCTAGCTAGTCTAATTCTACTTTATCAGAAAGCATGGCCCGTGACCACACTGTTAAAGAATGGGGACTGTCCAGACTAGAGAAGAGACAAGTAGTGGTGGTAAGGATGTCTTTAAACACATCCTTTCTCCTGCAAAGAGGAAACGAATAATCAATTTTCCATGCTTACTGTTACAGCAGAACGAGAAGTAACAGGCACAAATTCCATTTAGAGAGGCTTAAATGAGTCTGCCAGCGGTGGGGCTAGTGAAGTACTGGAATAGATGGATTTCCTGATAGACTGGGGAGCTATCTCTGAACACTTAAGATTAGAGTGGACAGATTTCTCATAGCAATGCCATGGATGTATCTGGTTCTGGCTTGCCATAATGGCAATAATAAACATGAGTGTTACAATAGCAATTAGCTTCCTGAACTTCGTTCTACTACTATGTTCTGTGACCATGGGTTTCTTCATACTTTTAGGACAAAATCTCTGTTATCACCTTTTATTCCCCATGAATACTATTTGGATCTTGCAAATCCTTATTGGATAGCAGAGAGATGTTTATATAAGAAACTTAACTTATACTTTGCATTTTTTTTCTTTTTTTTTTTTTTATAACCACTGTTGGGAATACAAAGGTATGCTAGAGCTTCAGGAGAGAAAAAAAGGCTATGTACCTTTTTGAAAGGGAGGAATGGGCACTATGAGAGAGAAGTAAGGAAGATACTTGTAAAGTGATTTAATCTGTTTTTGAATCATTATCCCAGCTGTAAGATTGGAGTAAGAATAGTGTAATAATTCCCTTGTTCCCATTTCTTTGTTCTGTCACAGGATTTTTTTTTTAAATAACCTGATTATTATCTGTGGTATTAAAAGTTTTCTAGTTGAGAACAAGTTCTCCAAAGCTTTTCTACCACTAGCTGTCTGCTCTTGAACAAGTTTGCTGAGTGCTCAGGGAATACAAGACGCTAAACAGATTCATCTGTGACAGGAAAGATTTTTCTTCATTTCTTTGGAGCTCTGATTAAAAGTAATGTGTTTGATTTTTAGACTACTGATTTGTGAAATGATTGTTTAAAAGTTGATTTAGGAAAAAAGAAAACGTAAGCTACAAAATGTGCAAAACTGGAAGTGAGCAGGCAAAAGTATTGCTAAAGCTTCTCAGCCAAGTTCATTTTCTACATCTCAGACATAGCTTAATTTGCTGATTGCTTACACAATGTTACTAGGATAGTGTATTTTATTGAAATAATATTTTTTTTTAAGTTATAGATCTAACACTTTTTTAGAATAGGGAAAGAAACCCTGTCTACCTAGAGTAACTATTCAGAGTATGCAGATTTTTTAGTGGATGTATGAGTTTTTACTGAAGATGACAAGGACAGAATGCTGTTATGATGAATGTGTTTCCTTTTTACAGAGTGGAAAACTAGTCTCCATACATTCTTTACTGGCTTCTTCATTCACTTGCATTTATTTCTTTACTGAAAGTAACATAGCATCAATTGGTTGTTATTTTAACATTGGGTGCAGATCTCTTAGATGAGGTGTACAGTCAGGTCAGGCCATTGCACCTAATTTTTTATTTCTCTAGCTATTAGAATAAGCAGGAATGCTGTGAGGATTATTTCATGTCTGTGTCGTATTCTGTAAACGCAGAAGTAATGTAGCATCACCAGATGGTTGATAAATTATTAAAACTATTTCTTCTGTCTAGCATCTCTGAATATACTGCAGATTTTCCAGCTTTCAAAAGCATCAGCATCTTCATTCTCTGTGTGCTAAAGAACAATTCGCTTCTCACCTTCCTGTATCACACTTTAGTGAACACTTTTACTGAGCATATAAAGTGGAGTGGCTAGAAGAGGAACACTCACAATAGCATACGTTGTCTTTGCCTTGAATTCCCTCCGTTGATTTTCCTGGACAGAGTAAGCAGAAGCAGGAATCCCACCCAATGCTTTTTGCAAAGCCAAAGGGCTTCTGCACAGATATTACCAGTGACTAAAGCAGAATGTGCATCTCATTATATAGTGCTGTTTCTGAGGGGCTGCGCAGGGAAGTAGAATCTGGGCAGGTAAGTAGAATCATGCAGAGAAGGCTCTGTAACATTAATAGTAAATCTCCCTGCAGCCTCACTGCCACAGGGCAAGCCTGTAGAAATACATGCTCATCTACCCTTCTATTATTGCATCTCTAATCTACGCTAGTTTTGGGGTCTTGCAGAGGAATGTTATAAACACATAGCAGAGTTAAAGGTTTAGACATAAAGATGAACACACTAACAAACATTTTGTCTCACTATGTTTCGCTGACCTAAGATTAAAGGAGAAAAAGATGTATGAGAGACAAATGAGGATATCAGGGAAAAGTGCAGTTGTCCTGAACATCTGAATAAATATTCTTTAAGCAGCTAAGCGTACATCAGAGGGAAATTGGTGTTGTCTCAGGAGAATAAAAATATGGTATGTGTACTGAAGTACCATTTAATGGCTTTTTATATGCAGCATCTCCCTGAGAAACAAAGCAGGAACAAGATTTCTACTACTAGCACAGATATGGTGATAAGGGTGATATAAGTACCTCACCAGAGATGTATCCCCCTATGCCACTATAGAAATCCCATTTAATATTTCTAGTGGGTGCACAACTAAATGCAATTCAGGACTCTAGCAATGTTACGCAATAAGTCAGGGTTAAATTTAAGGAAAATTAAATGGTTTCTGCCTAGTTTCTTAAGACAACAAGGTTTATTTGATCCATCTATGTCTTCTTGTATTTTCTATGTCCTTGCCAATAGGTTTTGAATTTTGTGGTCAGTCAGTGAAATTTCACAGACTGCCCAATGCTACCTCTATCATGTTGTATGAAAATGGGTGGTCAGACAGAGATGAGATCGTGTCAGTGTCCTCAGTATGAGCTCACCCCATAATAGACACCAGGGAGTCCATATGAAGAGGTTATTTATGAAAATCCCAATTATGGGAGAAGATTCAGTAGGTGATTGGAGTTTGTTAGATGTCATAAGACAAAAGGAATCGAGGCTTCATTACTTTTGCTAATCATCGAGCAATGAGGTTTTTAATTACCAGAGATATCTGCAACGTTAGAATTTGCATTACAGACAGACACAAGCATTTCTATGATACTGAGTGATGTCACAGTGAGGCAGAGTAAAAGCTGTGCATGCCATTTTAGTGACTGATTGGTCTTGACAGTAATAATACCATTTAAAGCACTTTGTATTTCCAAAGCCCATTACCACCACTAATTAATTCTTAGAACACCCCTGAGGGGTGCCAGTTGGGAGATAAGTTATAGTATTACTGTTTTAATGCTAGAAACACTGCGATGGATCACTGAGCAGTGATAGTGCTTGGAATAAAATTCAAGTAAGAACTCTTAATCTGGTGTCAAACTGAGACCTTGCTGAAGATGAAATTTTGCTGCTATGCTTTAAAGCTATATTTAAAGATAACAAGAGATTCATAATATTTAAAATATTTTTGTAGTATTACTAAATGGATATAAAAAAAGCCTGGTTAGTAGAGATGCATGAGTATGACACAGCATATAACGGATGACATGTCTGTACTAGCCAATAAATGTCATCAGAAAGTTTTTCACTAACACTGACTTCTGCAGTCAATGTTAGGATGTTCCAGTGAAGTCATCAGAAGTCAACACTGACCAATAGTAAACAATCCTTATTGTGGCTTATAAGAATAAGCAGCAGTAGAGTTTCTTTTCCATTTCTGTGCAAATATATGCAGGATGGAGCTAGGAGTAAAAAATTGTATCCACTTGGAACTCCACAGATGGCAAATGAAGCCACCCCACTCTCTCATACAACCAGTTGTTTCTCAAATCCACCCAACTCTTGAGGCGCTAGTAAGCCACTTAAATTTGCAAGGAATTTTTTAGTATATGGCAGTCTGTCCCTACTCCTCTTCCTTGCCAGGAAATGGAGGTCTTGGAGAAAAGATAGAAAAGATATATTACTTTTAAAGAAAGCAGCTACTTATTTCCCTAGGTTTTTCTGATTGCCTGTCTTGTCTTGCTGTGATGTTATTGCATATTTGTTGGGTTTTTTTCAAAAATTTCTTTCCATGTTCTTTAAATATTGTTTAAGATTTTCTCACTTTTTGCATTACAAGATTCCAGGCTACTATTTTTGTGGTCTACTGTATGTACTACATACCATTCCTAAATGAATAAACCTGATCTAACTGTATCTTTCGTAATGTATTTGTTGAAAAATAGCATCAAGAAGTACATATTTTAAATTAATAATTTCAATGAGGAGTTAATGATATTCCTAAATACAATCTGTATGTTTATATAATTCAGACAAGTTAATGTCTTTACTTTCTTTTATATATAGTAATTGTAGTTCTGTCCCTGGCAATGTGGTATGGTCTTTTTTTATTCCACTTTTATTCCACTGAGTATTGCAGGTTGTTCGAATTCTTTCACTTCATGCAGTTAAGCAAGTGTATGGAAATCAAGGACAATGAATTAGACGGCAGGACAAATATATGTAGCTTATGTTTCACTCATATTTTGTATTTTAATATTTTTACAGTGAATGTCATAACTCTACAGATAGAATAAAAGTGAGAGTATGGGATGAAGATGATGACATCAAATCTAGAGTTAAACAACATTTCAAAAAGGAATCGGATGACTTCCTTGGGCAAACAATCATTGAAGTAAGAACACTGAGTGGAGAAATGGATGTATGGTATAACTTAGGTATGATTCTTATTCATGTTTTAAAACAAATTTATGTAGAATCTGTAGATTTGGCACTTCAAAATATATAGTTTTGGGACCGATATACAACTTCTTAAATCCTACATATTACAGATTTATTCAAAGATGAAACATGCATTCTTGGTTTTCATCCAGAGTTTTGACAATTACAGAGAGCAGACAAATCACAACAATATCAAAGAAAAATATTTCATTTTAATGCAAAAGGAAAACCCAACATTTCAGACGAGTCAATTCACAACAGGATTCTGCGGGAAATACATTTACAAAGATAGGTAGAAAAATCTAGCAAATATTTTGCTTGTTGTCCACACTTTTTTTATCACATATTTTAAAAAAATATTTGTATACCATTCTGGGCCTAATCACCTTCAGTTTTGACTGCATTTAAACTTGTGATTCTTCATGAAGCTTGCTTGAGTTTTCTTTTTTGTACATGTCAAATGTGTTTACATGAAGTCATAAACTGAAGAGAGGCTGCTGAAGCTCAAGATGCTCTCTGCTGTCCTTAATGACTGCACTTTCCTGTCTGGGCACGCTTAAGAAGTATCATTCTTTAAACCAGATATAAATCAATGAAAGTGTGTCTCAGAATGTATTTACTTTATCTAAATCTAAGCATACAACTGTTCTTTAATTCTAAAAATCTCTTTGGGTGCACTAAATGTTCTGGAGTAGCCCTTTAAAAGTTAACCTTCTATATTTAATAATAAAATGTGATAGTAACATTTTTTATCTAGGTTGCCTGCTTTGTGAAATCTTCAGGTGAAATATGTGAATTTCATAATTTTCTGAAATTGAAGAGCATTTGTTTCCTGATCAACAATCATTGTTTCCCTGTCTAGTGTTTCATTTGCCAGTGACGTACATAAGTGTGTTAGGGAAGTATTTGATTTCCTAGGGACAAAAAAGAGAAAGCCTTGCTTTATTTCATATCTATAATGAGAATTTTTTAAAGGTAAGATAGTTGAGTTGGTATGAGTTTTGAATTTTATTCCTTCAAAAAATTCAGTGACCTAAACTGATACAGACTACTATGAAATGGATTTTTAAAACAAATCTTGCTGAACTGATTTGACTGGAAGCAGTTTAATAACATTGAAAATCTATGTGCTCTGCAAAAGGAGGAATCCAGATTGAAAACCTTTCAATCAGCATCTAAAAGAAAGAAATGGTAAATGGCTTGTGATAATTCTAATATTCTAAAAAGAATGTTGAATTTTATTTTGATACATACACACATTAACACAACTGCATGTCAAATCATACAGAAGACAGAGGAGTGAAATAAAGCAGCTGGATTTGTGGAATACCAGTTCTTAATAATTGTACTGTTCATCACCACTGACATCACAGCACTTTGTGAAACAATCATAAAAATTGTAGTACCTATTGACTCAGTTATACTGCTACAATGGATTGGAAAAGTGAAAATTGGAGTAAAAAAGATCAGTACCTTCCACGAGTGACAGCAACTAAATGACCTAGTACAGATAGCATAAACAAAGTTCCTAATATCATTTTTTCTCTAAGATTCATCTTTGCTCTGTAATTGAGTTCTGCTAAGAACATTTTGAGTTTCTCTCAGACAGAGTAGTTCAGGTTGTTGCTGAAGTCTTCATTACTAAAAGAAAATATCAATAATGAAAATAAGAATAATTAGTACAGATACCAGATAGAAAATGGAAACAATTTCTATTGAAAAGGGATAAGTGTTAAACAAATTGCTGGGCAGCCTGGTTTGAATTAGGCAGATAAAATAAGAAAATTATTTACTTCATAGTTTGATATTCATTGCCTGAACCATATGTGAGGTATCAAAAAAAATTCTCTCGTTCTCAACAGGAGGACTTTCTGACTTTAAAAAACATTCTTATTAGGCTAGAATGATTTATGAAAGATTTTCACATGACATACATGTATTCTTGGTAGTTACTAATACATTATTTTCTGCTCTTCAGAAAAGCGAACAGATAAATCAGCTGTCTCTGGTGCTATTAGATTGAAAATAAATGTTGAAATAAAAGGAGAGGAGAAAGTTGCTCCCTACCATGTACAGTACACCTGTCTACATGAGGTATGTTGGAGAAGTTAAAGAAATTACTATACAGAAATTACTATTCAGTTGTTGGATAACCAAAAAAAAGCTACATAACATTAGAACACTGAAATAAATTTTAGATTTCCCACTTTGTACTGCTGATGGCATATCAGATTCAGAGAAAAGGCAGAACGATGTAGCGCCAACAGATCAGTCCTGCCTATAGGAGCTAGAAAGAAGAGGTGGAGTCAGCTAAGTTCTCCTATTAACATATTTTGTTTTAGAATTTTGATGCTCCATACAGGTTTGCTAACATCAACAAGATACAACCATTTCTGTATATTACAGAAATATAGCTACTAATTGTAAAAGACTTCCTTCCTGCTACATGAAATCATATTTTGGAGAGAGCAAGAAAAAGTAGCGACAGCACAGACAATATAAAATCTGGTTCTTCTATCCATCTAGATTGTTTTTGTCGAGATTGAAAAAAAAAAATCATCACTGACTAAACCAACGTGTCTTTTGATTTTCTTTGTATTTGATTTCTCTTCCCCTCAAACAATAATCCATATTGAAGTTCTGTTCTAAAAATGCAAGTACTTTCTGAAAGCTGATAAGTAATATATGGCTGAAAGTTCAGCTCTAGTATGCATCTACAAAATCCCATTGTTCACTATTTGTAAAATGTAATGTTGAGGGCATTTGTGCTCATAGATTTTTAACTTGATGTTGCAAATACTTTGACCTTTGAAATAAATGGCAAAATTCTGTTGCTTTAAGATAATCCATAAGACCATTACGGGCTAACTAGCAAAACTGAAATTATTTCAAAGTTTGGGGGGTTTTTTGATCGCTGAAAACAATATCAAATCTGCTGCTGAGTTTGTGGCTACATATGTGGAGCTAGGTAATCTGAGAAGCATTCTATGACATTATCATCAAATTAAGTACTAGCTGTGATCCTAAGGCTGCTAACTTTATGCATGCCTTTCACCACTTGAGAGGCTTCTGCAGTGTTTCTGATAGCTTTCCTGTAACTTACCATTCTTAAATAATGAATTTTAAATTTATTGGTCTCAGATCCAATTAAAGTTGAAGCACTATGTAGCGAGCATTATAACATCACGATTTCATTCATTAGCAAGGGCATATGATAGAGAAGAGAAAATTTCAGCATGATTTTATGTTCCCATCTCTCTGTGCCAGTTAACTGACGTGACCGTGTATCAAAGAGATAGATCAATGTGCAGAATCACAAGCCTGCACTACCAGAGTTCCATTTAAAAATTATGTTTAGAATCTTCGGTTTTTTGTTTACCACATGATGACTAGTTAGTGCCAGTCTTCAGAAAAATTAAAGCAAAAAACCCCAAAACAATGAACATATTGATGACTACTATGTAGGATATACATTCAGAATGCTACTTAAAAGCTGAAAATTCTTATTTGAAACCTTTTTTTACATTTAGAATCTGTTCCATTACTTGACGGAAGTTAAATCTAATGGTGTTGTAAAAATCCCTGAAGTGAGAGGTGATGAAGCCTGGAAGGTGTACTTTGATGATGCTGCACAAGAAATTGTAGATGAATTTGCAATGCGCTATGGAATTGAATATATCTATCAAGCTATGACGTAAGTATTATTATGTCTGGTTTTCTGCTGTACTGTCAAGAATGTGTTTGAGGGACGTGATGAGTTCCAAGCCTTCAAACTTTCATTCTCCATTTCACTCCTGTTCCTGAATGAAAATTCTTATAGTTTTTGTACATCTGATCCTTATTGAAGTGCTTCTCGTCTGCAATGGAATTAAGATACATTATAAGCATTTTATCAACTGTTACTGGTATTACCACTAATGCATTTCTTAATTCTTATGATATTGATATGTGGCAAGGATCAGAAAGACTTACACTGTTCCAGATGGGATTGGGATAGTACAACAGGGTTTCACAAGCTCTGTACTCCTTTCCAGGAGTACAGAAATCATCATAGAGGACCAGCAATGGCTATAGTAAACTTCCATATTATATGTAATTAATTCCTGCAAACCATTTAATAGTATTAGAACCTGTTACTACATTGTCTTTCCTAAAGTAGTGATCTGTTTCTTTAGAACACAGCAGCGCAGAGTTAGAGGCCTGGGAATACAAGAGCCGCATTATGTATTTTTAATTTGTCCAGTGAAAAGGACTGTATTCTGCTCCTCCTGCTGCTGTAGGAAAGCAGACGGCTCCAAATGAGTCCTCTAAAGAAGAATTATAGAAAAAAAAATTCTATAGAAAGCTAATATTATGGAATTTTTAATCAGAACATAAGTTTAGTTTCTTCCATCTCTTTACAGTACGTCCTAGAAAATGATTTCTTATAATAATAGTGAAGGCACATAAACGTGAAGTTTTCTTTTTATTATAGGATATAATGACATCATCTGCTATTGCAATGAACATGTCTTTCACTTTATATAGCTCATTCTGGATTATTGTACTGTACATCTAATAGAAAGGTGGAAGATGTATTTGTAATATATATTTTTTTAATTCTCTTTGTCCAAGGACCTTAAACAACATTGCACAGAAGAATTAATTTAGCTTGACAGTTCCACTGTGGTATTGTGTATCTGTACTACATATGGAGGAACTCATGCATTGAGTTTCATAACTATTTGGGTTTTCATGTTTAGCTTCTCTTTAGCCATGTATGTCTTTACATCTTGATTATGTTACTTAACTAGCATAGTATTACAGTTTTATAACTTGATTTAAATTGGTATAAATTGGTATAAAAATTGGCCATTTTTTACCAAAATGTTAATTTCTAAAACCGCAGCGCTCTTCCTGCTGTACGTATCAAAATGAATTCAAGGTTTTACAAGAGTTGAATTCTCAGGAGCTATTAGTGCAAATGAAGGGCTGTTATTACGGTTTTGCTTAGGAAGTAAAGCACTGATTTAGCATTAGTGTTTCCTTTTAACTATAGCCCCAGTAGCTGGTTATCTGAATACAACATGGCTGTATTTTTGTTGGACAACCTCAACTGAAAATTATTTTGTAGTTTCTTTTCTTTCATCTTTTGAATGCCTGTACTCTGAAATTTTCCAGAGAAAGTTTAAAACTGATTTTAGAAATTCAAATGTAGCAAAAATCAGCATTGCAAAAATAGCAATATAATCTATATGTGAGTCTTTAAAATGCTTTTTCATTTAACAGCACTAGAAATGGATAGGTTGTGTTTTCATATAAAGTTATGATGCTTTGTTTTTATATCAATAAATAACAAACATACAGATACTCATGAAAAGGAGGCAAAATTAGTCTGAACATCTAACAAGGAGCTGGGCAAGTATTGCAACACCTTTTTCAGGAATCCTTACTCAAAAATTCTAGCCAACCCATTTTAAGTGAAATGACCTAGTTTGGCTTGTCGTCTTTTTGTTCTTGCATTCTTCTGTATCTTTTTCATTAAATTTCCTTGCTGTTGATGACTGAAAACCAGGCATTTGAAGACAGGTGTAATAAGAAAGTGAATTTGATATTGGTAGTCACAGGTAATTTACACAGGAAATAAAATCTAAGATTTCATTGCTGCCATACCCATGTCCGCTTGCATTTTAAAAAGTTGCATGTTAATAGTGAGCAAGCCCTATTTGAGGGGTAGAACACATACTGTTTAAGGCCACATACAGTTTAAATTAAGAATAAAATCAATAGTGAATGTGTTCTCAAATAATACTTGGAGAAGAAGAATTTGTATTTATATGCATTGTTTTGCTGATTCATCTGCAGACATGTCTCAGAGCATTCAGACTTGCGGGAGAAGAGTAGTGAAGACACTAGATGTATCATGGGGAATTTTCTTTTGAGCTATTATCTGTTGGTTTTATTTGAGTTTATGGGATCACCTTTTTCTCCTGGAATAACTCTAATGAATGGGCAAAAATGTAAAAACTTCTTGATTTGGAAAATAGAATGATTGGATTCCATTTGGTAACAATGTGTTACTGCTAAAAGACAAGTAATTTTCTACCATACCACAGGGAGAATTTGAATGTGATCACTTGGCCCAAAGGAATATTGTGTATGCATTTTATGCTTGAGAATATAGCTGCAGAATATTTCTATTGCATGTCTCATGATAACATTCTAAATTAAAATGTTTGCATTTGTAAATGCGGAACTGACTATGCTTTCATAGCCCATGATCCAGACCCAGGAGAGCATCCACATGCTTCTTATCCACTGTATCAGACTCAAGTGAGTTTTAGTTGCTAACTAAGTACTCTTTGTGTCTGAATGTTATATTTAAAATTCATATTTGCAATTTTAAAATCACCTAAAGTTTTAGTGCCACTTAATGATAGGCAGTCTTGACCATTTTCGGTATGGGTAGGCAGCATATGCTGGAGTAGGAACATACACTGTTCTGCATTTCTGAACATAACATATATCTAATTAAGCCTCCTTAAAATACCACTTCCTAGAAAAACTTGGCATCCTGTTCTGCTATAGTAATAACTCCACTTGTCTATCATTTCAGGTTCATGCTGGTGGCTTTGTCATCTGTGATCCTCTTAGTAGACTCTGGTGATTTATTTTTGCCTCTCAAATTAATACTTATATTTGTTCCTTTAAAGCACAGAAATAATATTTCAAAACGATAGCCTTGATTTTCCAAATACACTGAGTAAACTCATCAACTACATTTGTGCCAGCACGGCAAAGATAAACAAGAATTTAGATCAATTTATTGTTTCAGTGCCTGACTTCATGGAAAATCAGTCCAAGAGGTGATCAACTAAAAGTCCTGAAAACATAAAGCTCAAACTCTTTTCTTCTCTTAACCAGCCTCAGCAGAGAAATTCTGCATTTTCTGTGATTTAAAACACGTCACGTGTGAGTTAGTGTCTGATTCTAGATCAGAAGGAGATCCACCACAGAAAACGTACTGGAATGTGGATATCAACCCAAAAGATACCACCCAGATGGCTACTTATCTGCCTTAGGCATTGTCCTGAATGAGACCTTTTTCATTAAACTTATAAAGAGAATGAATTCAAGTGTGGTTACACCTGTTGTTTGTGAGGCTCATCCACATTTTTATGAGAATAAATATAGACAGTTCTTCCCTAAAGGATGCCCATTTAGAAGGGATGTCTTACTCTCAAGATATGGATTCCAACTGTCCATTTCCTAAGCCAGGAAATCTGCTTTTAAGTAATCAGATGTGGAATTCATATGAATAGAAAATAAACTATTGACCCAAAACCAACAAAAAGTCCGCTTGTGTTGCAATGACTGCAGCTCTTAGAAAAGTGCAGGTCTTGACGGTATAGATCCCGTAACCCACTCTTCTTTCTTATAACTATTATATTCTTCCACTCCTCACAGAGTCTCTATTGGGAAAAGAAACTAAAGGCAATTCCAGCCATTCTTATATGGGTCAGAAGAGATTGGTTTTTTTAGTGATAGCAGCCAAATAGACACTGTTAGCTACATGAATGGTATGTGTATAGTCCCAGAAATCAAAACACATATGTGTGAGATAATAGGAAAGAAAATAGATATGATAGAAAACAGTTTAACAAAAGCAGAACAGCAGCTCAGTGATCCAACTGGCCTTTATTTTGATGACTGCAGTGATATATGGTGACTTATACTGTAAATTTAATGTTTTGAAGGAATCGTACTGGAAGTATATTTACCTACATATATTAAGCGACCTCTCCACCACCAAGAAAAATTCATTTTCTTCTTCTCATTCATCTCCCAACATAATCTGTTTCTCTTTACAAGGCAAAAAGCAGAGCACGTATTGAAGCAGTGTTTGACTAGACACTGAAATTATACATAGCGTCAGCATCCTGGATTTACTGCATAGTGGAGTCAAGTGCAATAAAAGCTCTTAAGATCTTCACTTCTTACTGGCAAGAGTCACCACTGGTAGAACCTAATACTTCTAATTCAGTGACATAGTTCTTATTCCAGCAGGTTAATGGGCATTAAGTATGCCATCTTCTTCTCCTGATAGTCTTCTGGTAATGTACCTGCATTGCAAAAAGCACACAAATCACTCATTAAAGTAGTTTTCATTGATAGCATTTGCTTACTGACTACAGCACATTAATTAGCCTTCTTTCTTGATTCACGCTAGCAGAAAGATTGGAAGTGTCACGGGCACTGCATAGTAATAAAGTCGAAGCAAGCAGCCCTGGCTGTAGACACGTGTCTCTAGCTTAAACAATGCAATATTACTCTAAAATATGTGGGATTTAGCAATGGTTGCTGTGACATCATGTCTTGTTAGAAATTGTTAGTAGCTCATGCTATTGGCTGCTGTTTTCAGAGACCTACAAAAATAAGGAAAGAAGTTTCCTCTTTGATTTGTTTATTTTGGCAAGCAGAAGGAAGCCGGGCGGCTTGCAGATTTCCTACCTGGGTTATCAGTACTCTTAAGTCATAAACCATATTGCATATGACGAAGTTCACAGAACCTATTAAGTTTAAAGATTTTAGTTAAATGAAGCAAAAATTCACATAAGCTATCACTTGACACGGATGCTTTATCGTTGATTTCACTAACCAAATTAGAGGTGGAATGATGTAGTAATACAATAAGGATAAAGAAATTACATCAATAGTTTTAAATTTTCTTCACAACAAATTAGTACAATTTGGGTCTGTTTTCAAGATAAGAGCTCAATTCAAGCCTTGGGTAGCTTAACGTGAAATTGTTCAAATATCCTGCAGAAGACACCTGGCTGAACTTAAAATGTTGACCCAAACTATTTTTCCGCTGTCTGCCATGTTCTCTGCAGTCAGTTGAAGTAGTCTCAATGGTTTTTCACATAGTGACTGCTGCCGACTGCCCCTGTTGTCTGCCTCTTCCCCACACCAGAGCATATGTTATAGGTGTGACTCTAGGGCCAGTGGGGTTATTAGTGCCTTCTTATCTCCAGCTTGGAGTTCCTCATGCACTAAGGTTCTTTAGGTCCACTAAAAGATTTCTGGAATTAAAGGTCAGAGGTAAAAGTATATTTTAATTATTTTGGTGTCAATTTTTAGAGGAATAGTGCTGATCATCTCTAAATATATTTCTCAAAATGTATGTTATAAACAGATTAGACAAAATGACTATTAACTTTAAAGGTTACCTGAAACTGGTGAGAATCACCTGAAACTACTATTGTATTTTATACAAAGGAAACTAAGGTTCTTCTAGTTGATGGGGAAACATGATATACAATGACAGATTTTCCTAAAGAGAAGGTAGCCGTGTTGTGCTTTCGTTAGATTCACATTATGGTATTTAAAAGCACTTCTGAAAAATACTGGCAATGAATGAAAGGTTTGGTAGTATCACTATGAGCCACATAGCTAGGAATGCTGAGTTCTAATCCTGGCCTATGTGATTGATTTGTTTTGTAGAATTGAGCAGTTTCTCTCCATTTTGTAAAGTGGAGATAATAGCACTTAATGATCTACCTTACAGGAATGCTGAAAAATATTTGCAAAGCACTCTGAATATGACTACTATGATACAAGCTTTAAGTATCAATATATATCACCATATCGGTGCAGGCTATGTGATATATAAACCCAGCAGGAAAATACTTCAAAGAGAGTCTAGTGCTAGAGAAAGCCAACAAAGTGGGTTCCCTGGCTTGTCCTGGAAGGTCTGGGAATGCAGAGGGACCCCGTATACAAAGACTGTAGCCCTACATTCTCTTCAGTGTGAGCCTGCCTCTCATGCCTCCCGTCCCCAGTTAGATCCCTTCTTTTTCAGTGTCTTTGCCTGACCAGGTAAACTGGAAAACCCAGCAATTATTCAGCTCCTCAGCCTAGTTTTGGAGCAGAACTAAGGGCTTGATTCATCCCAGTATCTAACACTTCAGACATTTTGAATGATACCTTAAAGTAGCAAAATATGAAGATGTGCTGGGATTTTCTTTAGGTATTTGTACACAGTTAATGACTTGGGCTTTTTCTTGGGAATTATGTAAGAGGATTTATCTTGAGTGAGATGCAAAAGAATTAGAAAATTACAATTTTAGAATTTTTCTAGCCAATTGTTTTTCAATTAGAGGGTCAGTTGGTATATATCTCTTGCTCTTTATTTTTTTAGAAATAAATAGAAAAATATGTTAATTTATGGATCACACTCATGTTTTGAGCTCTTACTGGTAATTAAAAGACACACTGCCTCTATGTGTTTAACATCACATTTACCTTTCTGCAAGTAGCTGATTCTATTCCCAATATCTTATCAGGTTCTGTAGCCTGTTTCATTGACTGAGGCTGTTGAGGAAAGCAGTTTGTCCAGTAATTTTATGGTGTCCATTTCTAATATCTAGATACTGAATGGATATCGGGTACATTAATGAAGAGTGATTCCTGAGCCTGGACACTTGGGGAGCTTTGGAATAATCTTCTTTTTTAACATATCTGTGACCTGATACAGATTTCTGAAGTAAACATTGCAATTTACATGTCTCATACGCAAAGTAAATGAAAGCGTTGGAGAGGGCTTGGTTCAGAGTGGTGTGAGGTTCTGACTGCGCAGAGCATTGTTTTAGACCCATTTCTGAATCGGTAGATGAGCATCTGTAGTAACTGTCTGTGCACTGACAGGGGGAGTATTGGAAAAGCAGAAGCAAAGGGGACATTATGTGCTGCCTCTGCTGGCCCACTCCATTCCCCGGTTTCCCTTTTAAAAATACAGGCTAAAAGAAGTAAGAGTTGTCTGTCAGATGTGAAATTGCAGATTAGCCCGAAGCGTTATGCAAAAGGCATCTGCAAATACACTAAGTCAGTGGTGTGGGAGACCCTAGAAGAGGTAACTGTGGTCTCTTCAGCAGAAGCAGGTTTCTGCAGCCCCAGAACATCAGGAAGCAGGAATATGGTGAACACGATGAGTCACAAGAGCATGAGGCAGGCCTCAGAGTGAAGGAATTTAGAGGACCACTCAGACAACAAGAGGGTATCAGAAAGCGTAAATGTGCAGGCTTGCAATAAAGAGCTCAATTTTGATATATTTAGGAACAGGAATCCAGGTACAAGACGCAAATAATCCTGAATGATGTGGTTGGAAGATTATTTGGTCAGTGACAGCAGTTAACAGTACTCAGCTGAAGTTCAGCAGGACTGATTTCAGTTGTACCTTGTTAATTTTTCTTCCTCGTTGGGCACTTGGGCCCAGGTGGCTTAGGCCCAGCACATGGCTCTGCCTTATGCTCCTCAGGAGAAACAGTAAAGAGGAGCCAGAGACTCCAGCTAAGAGGAGCACGCTGCCAAATCAGGACCTCCAGAGTACAGAGAGCTCCACAGTGACTGAAGTGTCTTCATCCCCTTCTGTTTGACTGTATAATCACTTTCACTGTTGTCTTCTCTGCCTAATCTCTCTCACTCTTTCCTATCTCTATGCATTTACTCTTTATCTCTTTGTCTTCCTCTCAACCCTGCCTAACTATAAATTTGTGGTTTGCAATGATGATGTTCACTCTCTTCATGCTGGATCTTTCATCCATCTTATTTCTCATATTTTCTTGTGTTAAAAGCTCTTTCTACGCTATAACCAGGCATCTCCTGTTGTTTTGAACAAGCAAACAGTGCTGCTACATCGCAACTCTGTGTTTGGCTGGCAGAGTACAATGCACCAGCAACCAAGTTTTTTAGCCCTCTAAGTTCTATAGGCTCAATTTTCATTTCAATTTAAGAATTTGAATCTGAATAAAGTTAGAAATCCAAATGCTTTGCTGTAAACTTTACTGGCCTGAATGAAAGTGGAATAGTTTCAGTTATGGCCTAAATGAAATCAAGATGAACCCGGAAGTTGCTTGATGCCTCACCTTTCGTTAATAATGTAGCCTAAAATATAAGCCACAGTAAAATTAGGCCTTTTATGATGATAAATTCATGTTTTATTTTAAATTTGTGTTTAGTAATTAATGTTTTGCTTAATACCGATTAAGATAGTTAAATCATGAGTTTGTATTTAGGTGTTGAATTTGTGTTGAATTTGAAAGTATCAGTGTGCAACTGATGAAAGTAGCAGTGTGCGATTATATAAAACATGCCTGGATTTTCCTCTTGTGTATCTGCACAGTTGTCCATGAGGTAGCTTTAAAGTTACATCATCGTAGCTGAAAATAAATTTTGGTTGGTGAATCTATGCCATCTTTAATAACTGTCTCTTTGTTTGAATTGTAGGCACTTTTCCTGTCTATCTTCAAAATATATGTGCCCCGGTGTTCCAGCAGTTATGAGTACTTTGTTGGCCAATATAAATGCTTTTTATGCTCATACTACAGCAGCAACTAACGTATCTGCCTCAGATCGGTTTGCAGCTACTAATTTTGGGGTAAGTAGACTTTCTTTTTCAATAGAATACTAGACCTCTTTTTTTTTTTTCCTAATATATGATAACATATTAACTTCTAAATTCAAACATTTTTTAAAAGTCGGTCGTTTTAAAGAATAAGACTTGCTGTTAGCTTTTGAAAATTTTACCCTGGGTCTTTACAATCAATCCCTGTAGAAGCTAAGATAGGAGACCACTCAGTTCCTTATATAGTGATATGTGAGGCATGTAGGGTACTGGCAAGCACTGGTACACATGTATAGTACTAAAATCTTCAACAATCAGTTTTTGTTTTATTGCAGTGGGGCTTGCAAACTACTAACTGCACTAGACTAAGTATTGGTAGCAATTGCATTCTTGAGCTATGCATCATCAGTGAACTCGTATTAACCTAGTGGATCTAGCCATTAATGCTGTTCTTCTCACAAGAGCCTATAATGATGGACTCTTATTTTTGCAGAAATAATGGTGCATTGCCCAAGTCCTGGATTTAGGTATCAGAAATTTTAGGAGGAATACCAGCATCTGACAATGTGGTAGTAATTTTTTTGTGGTTGCTAACCTTCCATCTGTGGATAAGTATCTCACACTGCAGGCTTCCTAGTCTTTGAACATGATAAAAAATGAAGATACATTCCCTTCGTATTCTAGTTTATTCACCTACCCTCACTGATGAGAGCAGGAAAGGAGCGCAATAATTCAAAGAGGTTGATTTCATGTCTTCTATTACACGTGATAAAGTCAGAGATAAACACAATTTGATGCTGAGAACATATTCACTCCTTCCTCTCTTTTTTGTATGTCTGTTGTTTGTATGACTGATATCAAAGCTAAAAAACAGTAGCTATGAAAACATCATAATGTTTTTCAAATGCTATTTATTGACATGAAATAAAATATTAAATGTAATTAAAATTTATTAAATACAAATTATAGTTTTTGAAGTAGCGTTAGAGGTACTGATGCTTTTCTCCAGTATTAACAATAATAGAAACATTATGAATTTCAGGATTTTCAAGACAACATTATGAAATTATACATTTGGACTAGTAAACCACGAAAGACTTAATTCTGTTTTTGCTTTTTTGTTCCCATCAGCAGTCAGAAACACAATTGTCAGACTGCTCTCAGTATACTAATAAAATCCGTGCCCGGAAAAAAGTGTAAATGTTTAATTTTGTAAAGAAAATTTGCTGGGGATGGTAAAACAAATTTTGATTTGTAGCAGACAGTGTATTAAGTACAGCATTCCTGCATATTTTTTTCAAAAAGAGCCTTAAATAGTTGAAACTAGATATTAGTTTGCATTTCATGCATAACACAATTTGTGTAGTGGTAATACCAAAGATTGATTTTTCTTAGTATTGTTGAATCCTGTATGTTCTTAGGATTTGATGCTACTGCTTACAGCTACAAATAGTCAACAGTTAGTTCGAAATACTCCGAAGTAGTACTCCTAAGTAGTACTAACATTAATATATTTTCAAATTTAAGGGATGTCATAAGTCTGGTTTAAAAAAAAATAGATTAAAAATCCATTAAGTCACTATTTTCAGGTCTATTCAGTCCATATTTTTTTAAAAACAAATATTTACTCTAAATATCAATATATTTTTCTTTCAAATGTTAAGTCTGGTGGAAGTACTCACATATAAATATACTCGGGCTGGGTCTTTAGTTTGGACACAACATGTCCCTGAAATGGAACTTTATCTCCTGCTGTTAGAGCTTTACTTTGAAAGAGGAATATTAGCATTGCGCCATTGCTATAAAGTCAAAAAGTTTTATAGATGAAAAGCACTAGCAGAATATTTATGATTTAATTATTGTATTACCACAATAGCACAGTGCTGTTGTGTTCTTATTCGGGTTTTCTTTCATAAGCTAATCGATGGTTTATTATGGAATGACACTACATCTTTCTTCAAACAAGGCTACTCTTTCAATGTTCAAGCTCTATTACACTTTTGAGTTCGATACAGCTTTTGAAATTTAGAATTTTTTGCTGGATTTCCTACTTTTTTTCCATTTTTCTCGTGATCAGATCTACTTTTATCCTCAGATGGACGGAGGTTAAGTCCTCTTTTTGATGTTAATGCTAGTTTACCTTTGACGCAAATTCCAATCCAATTCATAGTTCAACAAATGGATGGAAAGAGAGTAGTAAGGTTCACTAATAGAGATTTGGAGCTCTTTTTTCAAACAGTTGACTTATAGGCAAAATATTAGATTATTTCTCTCTTGGGTCAAAAGACATTTGTTAGTGGATAGCTGCACATCATTCATCAAAAAGAACATCTTAAATTCAAGTCCTCAGGCTACAGCTGGGAAGGATTTGGCTGACTGAATATTTCAGTACAGATTTATAACAAGACAAAAATGCTCCCTTTTGATTGATCCCTTAAGGGAACTGTGCCAAATTAGTGGCTTTTGGTGTAGGTTGGTACTCCACTGATGAGAGACAGTGTGCAAAGAACTCTATTTTCATATTAGTGCTGATCGTATTTCAGGGATGGCGTACAGTCATGCATTTTGAGACCTATCAGATCTACCTACTTCCACAAGCCTGCTGCTTTCACATAGGCTGGTAAGGATTTCTGCACAATTTTATGCAGTGGACTATGGAATACATTATAAGATGAAGATCCATAATCAGAAACTATCGTTAGAATTATTTGAGAATGGCACAACTCAGCTGGGTATCTCACAGCAAAATGTTTTCACTGCACCCTCAACTATCAGTATAACAAGTTAATCTCCACATTCCTAAGGGAAAACTATAACTGCATAGTATTACTTAGCTTATCCTTACAAAAGCCACTGTTTCTGAAGTTTAATTTTCAATTATACTTTTACACCAAAGTCTGCTGTAAATGAGCAGCATTTCTTACACATTAAAGGGAGGGAGGAAGAGTGTACAAGGCAAATATAAAAATTTAACAAGTTTATCTGTTCTAATAAGCCTTGTGAACACGACTTGAAACTTTGGACTTTATACTGTATTGATGCCATTGTTTTTTTATTCGGAGAAATTGGGCAATGCATTTCAATTTATTGATATTTTGAGTTATTTAACAATGCATCAGTCATTAAAAAAGGAAAATGCTGCATAGGAAAGTATGTCACCTCACTAATGTGTTGCTCAGCTGCACAGTATTGAATGCATACCGGGTAAATCACAATATAGGATAGAAAGGGAAAGTAAAGTGATAGAAGACACACTGCATGGCCTTGAAATACAGATATCTCAGACCAGCACTTTTATATAAAACAATGGAAAACAATCTATTTTTCAAATAAGAATAGAAAACAGTTTTCTACAAAACCCACCAATTACAGGCACCTGAAAATTCTTATGCAACATATTATTGTTTTCTTTTTACAGAGGGAAAAGTTCATAAAACTGCTGGATCAGCTGCACAATTCTCTGAGGATTGATTTATCTAAATACAGGGTATGTGCCGTGTATTCTATCTAGAGGAAAACTCTAATGTTTTTTTTGTGTGCGCAAAGAAGTTTTAGAGATTAATGAAAATATTGGATGCTGACATGACACCCCAAATACAGAGAACAAAAACTTACAGAATTTAAGCAGTTTAAAAAACAATATTTTTCCAATTTGCATCAAGGGATGCACAGACATTCAAAAAAGAGTAGAATTCATCAGCTTCAGTTAAATTAATCCATAACTTGATTAAGTTAATTCATCTGGGAATTACTTTTGCTGACTCATGTAGTGCAAATTGCAGTTACTGCTGTATTTATTCTGACATCTTAGCTACAACTTCCATGCTGAGATCCTAGGAATGTTGAAAGAGACTTGACTCCTCGTTTTTCTACATGATAGGAATTCCAGTTTCATTTCTGCCTCATGGAAGCTCTTTCCACTGAGGTATGCTCTAATTCCAGCCCTTCAGGAAAGAAGCACACACTGAATACCTGTCAGTTATTATACCACTCTGAAGAGAGAGTTCAGAACTTTTCCATTCCACTGGGTCATGAAATTTTTGGATGAGTGATGAGGGCTCCCTCAGCTATGGCTCTCCTTTCAGTTTCAAGGAATGGCAGCCTCCAACTCAGGGATTTCTCTGTTCATCTGGCCTGCTTTCTGAAACTGAAGGAGAATAGGAATGTTTAGAAGAACCCCAAGGCATTAGATGTAGTAGAAGTTGCACATATCTGGTTTTTAGGACCATATGTTTATGCAGCAGATATTTTCATCCTAGGATCCTTTAATTTTGGACAATGTTATCCAGATAATATTGGAGCATGAGGATATTTGGCTGATGTTTCATTAGTATGAAGCTATTTAAATAAAATTACTTCCAATCAGTTTTCCTCTTAACCTAGAGATCATAGCAAACATTTCATATATGATTTCTTCATTAAGCTTGCAACTGCATTTATGCCTACAAGTGATTTATGTAGCATGGAGAGCCCATAAATGATTTTCAGTACCAACATTTTCCAGTCTTTTTGTAGTATTTTTTATTCCATTACTGTTTTGAAAATATCACAATATTTTAAATTGTTCATATTAAAAACACAGGAGTATTATCAGAAATGTTCCTATTCATGTCAAAGGCATACTTATCACTGACTTCCCCACAGGCAGAGTTCAGGTAACACATTTCTAATCCTTCCAAGAAGCATCTTTGTTTTCCTAGAGGGTGTGTTTCCTAACTGTTCCAGGATCTTACCTGTAACTCCAATTTGCATGATTTCTCTCTTCCTGATTCACCAGGATAATTTTCCAGCCAGCAATTCAGAAAGACTTCAAGATCTGAAATCAACTGTGGACCTGCTTACCAGCATTACTTTTTTTCGAATGAAGGTATTGCCCTTTATTTTCACAATTACTTAAAAAAAAAAAAAAAACCGGTTGACTTTTATTTTCCAGAAAATTATACTCTATTTAATACTTCCAAACAATTCATCTCCTTTAGTTTTAAATTAAATCTGTCAACTTACTGAAGATCATTGAGGCAAAACAATCTTATTCATGCTTTCTGTTAACAATGTGGTAAAAGTCATTACTGTTGAAAAACAAACTACTACCTTTTACTTTTTTGACAATTATCTTTACATCTCCTGAAGGAAACAAAAAATTTACCTTTTTAATTAGTTTAAAGTCAAGTCACATAAAGCAAACTCAGTTGAACCCCTTAGGAACATGTGTCATATTAAATAATGTTTTCCTTAGGAACATGTGTCATATAGAATAATGTTTTCCTAGTAGTATCATAATATCACATGTCAAACAGCAAAATAGGTTTGTTGGCTCTACTTGCTTTAGTAACTCCAGATGTTGATATCTAGATGGTCAAGTGCTGAAATATTTTTGGAATGGAATGGTACACATCGGTATTACTAGATGAAAATACAGAAACACAAAGCAATGTTTGTTGCAATAGCGTGTTATTTCACCTTTTTAGGGACTACATAAAGAGAATTAAAATAATCTACTAAGTTAGAAGTTTAAATTAATGTATCCTAAAGTGGAGTAAAAAGCTGAACCCTTTGCTTTAAAAAAATGAAGAGCTCTAGTGAAAAACCCAAAGCTGTAAACCCTTGGGCACATAGGCCTCTTTCATCATATGAATAATTTCATTCAAATAAAACAACAATACAATCTACTTGCTTAATTATGTGTTTTAATGCATCTCTAAGATCACCGTAAGTCTACTTTCATCATTATTATATTTCAACACTTTTCATCCTGTATTACAGAACTACATTCATTGCAACACTTGGATTTTTTTTTTTATTCAATCTAATTCTGATATTCTACCATTTATGAAATATTTTATTAGGTCCTTGAACTGCAGAGCCCACCTCGAGCTAGTACTGTGGTGAAAGACTGTGTAAGAGCTTGCCTAGACTCAACTTATAAATACATTTTTGACAATTGCTATGATCTCTACTTCCAGTTAGTGGACCAGGTAAGGCCACCTTGTTTCATGCTATTGCTCATTCGTTATTGTTAGTTTACTGTAAGTAAATACAGAGCAGTACAGTGTTTCTTCATATCAAAGCACTCAGGCTGTTTTCATTTTATTCATTTGAGAAAGAGCAATATATTATAAAGAAACCCACAGATGGCTATGAACTCTAAAATGTTTAACAAGATGAGTTTCAAAATGAACATGTTAACTCACAACTTAGTCATCGCATTGGACATGACTCTAAAATTATCCTGTGGCTTTAGGGAAGATGACATTAGATTGATTGCTGTTCATTTAAGATTCATAAGTGAAAAATTATTTTTAAAAAAATCTATTATTTCACTTCAGTAGCTTTCGAAAAGAAGTGTTATAATTTGCTGAAAATTATATATCATCTTTCCAGCCTTATATTTTAACATCTATGTTACACATTTGGATCCAAGCTTTAGTAACTGCTTCAAGAAAACATTTAATATTTCTTAATATTAATCCATCAGGTTGAACTGTCAAGACAAAATAATTGTAGCATTTGTTGAATTCCAAATGCAAAAGCCATGAGAATGTGCTTTTTTTTTCTATAATATGGCTAGAGTTTATTCTACAAATAATGTTAAAATCAAGAAATTTGTATCTGCAAAATTATATAACTGTCTTAAAGGGGCATCACTACTTTATCACAGCGCCTCTTGTTCCTTACTCTTGCCTTCAGGGTGGTACACTGGAAAAATGGTACTTCAGTGACTGCTTTGAAAAGGATGAATTGAGTAGCTTGGCAAATGCACATTTGCTGTGTAGTATATAATAGATAAGAACAGTCATACTACGTGATTTAAGACATCTAATTTTATCTGAAAGCACATTTCACTTGATTCCAAAATATGAATTCCTGTATTTCAGGAGAGGCAATACAGGCTATGTAGTCAGCTTCTCTGAAATGAGAATTTATTTTCTAATGCTGTATTTCTGTTACATGAGAAAACTTACCTCTAACTCCCAAGCTTTGAACATAAGATTTTCCCACTGGCACCCATAGGTATCCCACACTCTGAGTGCTTGTGTGTGTTTACTCTCCAGCAGATTATATTGCAAGCTGAATAGCAGTATGAATTAGTAGAAGGAGCAGCTTTAGAGATATCACATATATTTGCCTCATAAACTGTTGTGTTTTCTTGCTAACATTTACTCTGCAGCAATTTGATTTTATCTGTTAACTATAATATGGACTGTTGCTAGACTGGGTGTTGCATAAGTCTGCAGAGTTTATCAGCAGATGCAGGCCATTTTAGTAAACACTTAAAAGGGAATTATCTTACTTCTACAAAGCATTGTGACACCTACAGAAGCTTATTTGTATTTTAAAAATTTCACTACTTTTTTCTGTGAATTCATAAAATTGTTTAGCCTGTCTTTTAGTAGATGCTTTAAAAATGCAAGGATGATCTAGTCTTTCTGTTTGGTAGAGAATATAAAACGAGTTTAAAGTGACATCTCTCCAAATTATTTGGGGGTGGGCAGAAGGATGGGCCATGTCATTAAATTATTTTTCTATTACACAACCCTACCAAACAACAGAGCAATATGAAGTCCTGAAATAATAATAATAAAAAAAAAATTCCACAAATATTTACTCAGTTGGAAAATGGAATTAACTGCATTTCACTGCATTTATGTGCCTCTTCTATTCTCTTTCAGCAAGATTTCCAGCATGTGAGTTTGTATGTAGAAACTTTAAGCAGACAAGTGTCTGTAGGGCTACAGTCACTTGCAAGTACAAGAAATTTTACTGAAAATATGCCAAAAGGAAAACTTAAGATAAATAGACCACATTCAAAATAACTCATTGATAACAGTAATCAAACAACAGTCACATATAATCTTAATAACAGATAGTAAAACTCTCTGTTTCACAGCAGCTGGGAGGCAATTCTGAGACATATAAACTAACTAATCTTGCTTTTATAAAGGGATGAGTAAAATAATTCAAATTGCTACCTAAATTTTATATCAGCTCTAGAGTTGTACAAGGAAACTGCCTTCTGCATTAGCTCTTAGAGCTAGCTACCAATATATCCATCCATACATTTAATTTTAGGAACAGCTAAGTATACAACTTGTTGGAACCTATGGCTCTGGAGGTTTTCCAGTGAATCCAGGTACACTGCAGACTGGCTTGTGGTATTGCTTTTATAATCATGAAGAAATAACCAATATTGTAATTAGCATTTCATTAGCTTTGTGTCCAAATGCCTTAGTCTGATTACAGCAGATTCCACCCTTAGGTCTTCTTCATTAACCAATCTCTTTTATCTCTGCTGGCCTCCCCATCAGATGAGACCTCTTCCTCTCAGAGGGAGGAAAGGAGTTCTTCCTAGCATGGTAGTGCTGTACAGGAGGTTCATGTTTTAGCTGCACAGCTGAGATTTGAGCTGTGAGTAGTGAGAACTGAAACTGATGAACCCCATAGCAACAAGAAATGGTTCATATGTAGGTCACCACCTGCTCTCACTCAGGGGAAAGACAGGCAGCTGTTGTCCTGCCATGGCCACTGCAGGCTCATAATTTTACCATGGTGCATTTCTTGCCTGAATCATGTTGTGGATGATGTTGTGAAAAAGTGGAATGTAGACAGTCTACTTAAACACCAATATTTTCATCTGGCAAGAAGCAACACGTTGCTGCATGTTGTATATACTATCTCTGTGTGTAACTTCTGTTAACCAACTTCTGCATTTGCTTTTGTCTACAAATTAAAATTCTCAAAGATGCCTGCCACAATATTTCTAGAAAGTATGTTTAATATCTGAATGTGTGTAATTGATTTTGGAGTAAAAATGAAAATTGAATTATGAAATTGAGGGTGCTTGAACTTCAGTTTGGGGAAACACATCACCGTAGGAAGACTAACAACGATATCACAAAATATGCTTAGCAATCCCCACTTCCTTGTTTTATTACTCTCTACCTTTGTGTCAGAGAGACAATCACTGTTACAAAGCAAATATCTTGCAGCAAAATATCACCCCTGGGGAACAGCAATGTTTCCTGGGGTGAGGCATGGTAAATGCCAACAATATGCAAAAGTGTCATAATGCAGTTTTATACCAGAATACAAAGAACAGCTGATAGGAAAAAACAAATGAGTACTACAGACAGTAAAACATGACATCTTGACAGTCTTACTGACATTACTGTCCTCATTATTTGAGGCAAAGCACTCTGATGAAGAACTACCTAATTCCTTATGCAGGAGATGTAGTATTTTCTCTTTATAATTAACACTGATCTGAGTGAAGAGCTAGCTGCCTTATATTGAAAAAAATACCTTGAAAAGTAGTTTAGTATCAAAAGTTATCTTTGATAACTTTCTGACTCAAATCACAAATATGTCACTGCTCCTGCTTTCTTAAGAAAAAAAAAATCGAAATCTTGGCTGATGTTCACAATGAAGTCCCTTCAGTAATTGTTTTTGCATTTTTCTCTACTGAGTGAAACCAATAAAATGCAAATCAAACTCTTCCCATTCTCTGAAGAGCTCTTGATCAGCACAAATCATTTCATGACTGGGAAAAACCACTAGGATACTCTATATCTGACACCTGCTCAGCAGAATAGTATTGAAATTCTACCTGATTTTGGAGATATTTTCTTTGCCTGTAACTCAGCTTTGTGTGTTGTCACAGTGAAACATGGTGCAAAAGACAAGGAGCTAGTGACAAATTACCTAGTTCTGAAGCCAGGTGTTACACAGCTGTAGCAGCACAGCGCTCTTCCCTTGTGATTTGTCTCTGCTTAGAGGTGTAACACATAAAGTCAGGTTGATAAAGTACTAATAATATCCTAGCTTTTGGGACTCAGAGTTTCTGTATTAAGATGCTGTAGACTAGCACATGGATGGACCTATGCTTTGAGAGCTGTCTCACTTTTGCTCTACTTATCTGTGAGTCTCTGGTTGATTTTTCAGTTGGGATTTGGGAACCCAAGCCACTTAGTTGCTATTGAAGGTCTACCTCTTTTTATTTAGTAGAAATTACTAAAAAAACTTTAAAAGCTTTCTGTGGCAGAGAACTTTTGTAGAAAGTACCTCCTTGTGCAAGTATTACTTGGTAAACTAATCAGTTTTTGCTATCTATATTAAAGAACAGAATTTCACATTCTTTGATTCACATTCACAGTCATGAAAAGCTGTCTCAGCTACATGCTATTGCAGGTTTTTTTCTGTGAAATACAGTTCTTTGATAAGATACTGGACTAAAAGTGAACTGGCTTTGTCTTGTACAACTGCCTTTCAGTTGTTTTGGCATAAACATGTACTAGCTTCTGAGAAAAAAATGATGTATTATAAATAAATCTTCAATATAGAAACAAGGTCTTTTAATGAAAGTATAATGCAGACCAAGGGACACCCTTGTGAGTGACATTAATGCTCCAATATCAATTTGTTTTGAAAAGCGCTCTTGCTTCCATGTGGGGTTATAAACTGCCAGCGATACTAGTTACACCATCCATTGTAACTGCTTCTGACCCTCACCTTTATTTCAATTGCTTTAGACACTGAAGCTGCAGCATAAGTAGATCAGCTGAGCATGTAACAGTGTGAATTATAATACTTTTCTAAAATATCCCACAGTGACCACAAAAACAATTTCAATTAAATGTTGTTGAAATTCCATTTCTGCCATTCTAAATGCTGTGAATAGATAAAAGTTAATTAAGGTCAAAGTAACATTTAATTAATCCACTCTAACACCAATATAGTGTTATATCTATTCAAAGGGATATGGGGTCCATTGAAGTGGTCATATTTGGATTACAAATGAGAAGTACAGGGAATATATTATTATATAGGCATATATAGACGTTTATTTTCTCTTATTGAGTGAAAAGACACCTTTCTGTCTCCGAGAGCTGTGTAGAAGAGACCTGCATGTGCAGACATACCACACCTTTCTGTATGGCAGAAATTACGTGTGTGTGTGTTCATACAGAGATGAAAATATTTCTTTTCATATCTTGCTTTCTGCTATTAAGTTATTTATTGGACACTGATAAGGAATCTGATCCTTCTGTCAAGTGAAGAACTGAAAAATACTTTCATCTAGGAAACCGTGGACTAAGAATTCATAAAACTGTAGAGACAAAATCTAGCTGTAAATGCACATGTTAGTGAGATTAAGAAATATAAAATTCTCAGTAGAAGTTTGTAAGTTGTGAATATTGATACATATTTCTAACTATATAGAAAGGTGCAAAAGGCAGACTTTCAGTCAAGAGGAGTAAAAACCACTGCTTTACTGACCAACTTTTAATTAATGACTGGAGAGTCGTATTAGTAATCCATCTGATACATCAGTATGTCATGTCCTTCCTTGTGATTATTACAAAAATGTAATGGGGCATCTCAGGTTCTCTGCTTTGGATGTGAAACTGGTTGCAGTCCTCTTCATTTGGATATTTATATGTACATTTTCCTAGTATTGTTATGTGTCCAGGGATTTTCTTTTTCCCCTCCTACTTTGTGGTGTTTTCCTCTGCCACTCTTAAATACAGACTTTGTGGTTCTGGCAGTCTCTAGAAAATGTCTGTGCAGAGTATTTTGGGCAGTAGCCTTTTTATTTAGGCTATTAAAAAATAAAGGGAATTTTTACCACTTTTTGCATTTACAGTGAACCACATAGCAGCTGTTAGACCTAATAACTTCAGCATATAATCCAAAACAAAACAAGAAATATTTATTATCATTGATTTTTTTTTTCAGTATTTATTGTGTAGGGTATTAAAGTTTTGCCTCAGCAGACAGTTTTACCTGCACTCGGTTTCAACCCAACAACCCAACCCAAAGAATTTAAGAATGTATTTAATTTAAGTGTGGACATGCACTAAAAATCAAGTCTCTATTGATCTTCTTTGCTGACCTGGCTGTTTTAGCGCTATGTATATTTTTTGATAGATGTTCACAGCCAGGTACAGTATGTCATAGTATCTACTCTAAGTTGGATAGACAATCTTTGTCCAAAATTTCTGAAGATTCTTAATACATCACTCTTTCCAACCAAGTAATGATCTGTAGGTGGAAATCCCATAATATTTTCTCTAATTTTTGTAATATAAAATACATTCAATCTTGTTTTAACAGGGTAAGAAACAAGAAGTTCCTAAAGAAGAACAGGGACCAACAACAAAGAATTTGGATTTCTGGGCACAGCTTATTACTTTGATGGTCACCATCATAGATGAAGATAAAACAGCATATACACCCGTTTTGAACCAGTAAGTAATTACTTTCCTCATGAAAATTAAGAATCATGGGCTTATTAAAATAAGGACAGGAAATATAACTGAATCAGTTGTTGTATTTGAAATATATTCTGGCTAGGTATTTTTTAAAATGCAGAATATAACATTGATGTAGTTTGATAAAGACTGTGATTGTGGAAAAGATAACATTTTGGTTTTGAAACGCTAAAGATGTGGTATATGAACCATCCCAAAAAGTTAAGTAGCAAATATTATGTAAGAGAACTAAATGGTTAGACAGAAGGGAGAGCTCAGTGAAATAATGTGATGGTATGAACGTTACTATAGTATCTTGGCACACATAATGTTCAAATCATACTGAGAGTTTTTTAGGCATCACAATAGAGTTTTAGTGATATATTTTTAAAGAATAATGAACGTCACAAAAAGACCCTCCGCAAATTTATGATTGGCTAGAGAGAAGGCCTAGCCAGGCTGACTTGAAAATTTATAAAACGGCGAGCATTATCCTGGATGGAAGTTGACTTATTAGAATTGAAGATGTAACAGATGAGGGAATTACAATCAATAACCAAGACAAGTTGAATATGGTAGATACACTAGAAGAGAAGAGAGAGCAAATTGATAAACATAGAAGGAGGAGACAGAGTGCTGGGTTTTGAAAATGAAATATACAGGAGTGCAAAGAAATATATTTCACATATTAAGGCTGGATAAATGGATGTCACACTAATTGAAAAGTGACAAGATGAGGGCCTAGGGAAAAGTTTTAGCTCTTTGGAGCTATTTTACAGAGAGATTCTAGAAAATCTGGGTGTAGTCTAGCTGTGATGTTTTATGCAAAAAGTTAAAATTGAAATTTATATCCATATTATGGCTAAGCAGTAGAGGTGTCTGCAGTGACATTCAATGTAATTGTCTGAAGGGGAGCAAGAAGAAGTCTATTTCTTTCAGACAAAATAGCATAGATTCTGAAAGGCACTCTGTATGTAGAGATGTGCTTGGCTGTTGATAAAAGGTACCATAACTTTTTATGGTATTTTTATAATTACCAAAGAAACCTCCTGGCGATAATCAGAAGTTGGAAGGTATTTCATTACCTTCTGATTCTTTCTTGTCTTTAAATAAATGAAGGGCTGTTTCATTTGGATAATAAAGTTTTCTTTGTTCAGTCCTTACCTGCATCAACCATATTAAGGGACAAGTTCTTACCCTACCCTTTCCTGTTTACTCCATTTATACAACTGAGTGTGAAGTTCGTCTATTAACAAAAGCTCAGTTTTTTTGTCTGATTGTCTATAACAAATATACTTCTTATGAAACATCTAACAATCAAGTACATATATGTGTTTCATTTCAGGCTTTTCAGGGAAATCAAACAGGAATAACTGTGGGTTAATTATCCTAAAAATTTTTCTAACTATGCTCTTACACATACGTGAGGGAGAAAGGAAAGGGGTAAAGAACAGAGTTCCTCTGAGGGGATTAGGAGATTCCCTAAAGTACAGCCAAGTGGTTGTGTAAAATGTAAATAGAGTATCAGCAGCAGCCAGAGCTGGGGCAGATTAAGGGAAAGAGTTTGTGTGTGGCCTCTCCCATTTTCACTGTTGTTTTGGAAGTGACACCATGAATAGAGGGAATAAAGTGGCTTTGAGAAACAGGAGGCATCAGGAGTAAGAGACTAAGAGGCTGTGGGTGGAAAAACTTGAAAAACTACTCCGAGTTGCTTTGGATACATTTCCGTTTAAAAGAAAAGCTTTTCCTAACACAAAAGCAGCATGTAAAAACTGTTGAGAAAATTGACAGACTGCCTCGTCCCCCTTGCTTACCCCAAAAAGAAAATGGGTGAAAGGAAAATATAAGTTGAATGCATAAGAATATTGCAAAACTATGACTCCTTATCAGAAATACCTGGTCATGCAGTGTCTCAATGAAATATTCAGGCCTACATCCATTTGAATCCTGTTCTAGAAATGAGGTTACTGAAGATCCCCAGGAGAGCTCCAAGCATTCTGATAGGATTTTTCACAATAGTATAATGTTGCTCAGAATTTTTTTCCTCAACCGGTTTTGGAAACTCTATTTTTATACTTACCTTGGAGGCAAAAAAAAAAAAAAAAAAAGATGCTGTGATAGAGCAGTTTGAACTGCATCAGATGATGAATCCAGATGAAAAATGACATGATTGCCTCTGCAAGCATTGCAGCAACTGAAAGACTGTACCAGACCATTCAGTGTGAGTTGTGGGGGCAACCTGCAGATGTTATATGACATAAGAAACTTGACAAGTTTGAGGGAGAAACATGAAGGCTGGTATTTAAGTAATTCTCATTCTACTAGGTAAAGCAATGTAAAAGGTGACTGGAGCCTAATTCACAAACAAATCTAGGACTTCCCAGCACTTGTCAAATATGCTTTCTACACACTGAGACAACAGAAATTGCTATATAAATAAAATATCTGTTCAATTAAAAGGAACAAAAAATCAAGAACAAAAGCTTCACCTGAAATATGCTCAAGCATTTGGAAATCAAGATCTAAACTTTGTACCTTTGCACATTTTTAGTAAAAAGCTTTCCATTTAATTGTATAGCACATATACTAAAATAGTTATGTGTGTTGTTATTATACAAATTTAAGAAACGAGACAGCTCTGGTGGGACTTTTAAATTTCTTATTAACTGATTCTTATGACTTTGCAATGTAAGGATCTGTCTTCTTTCCTCTGTGAACACTGTGTGTTTCATTCTCTTATTTAGTACTTTAGTACTTTGTAGAATCACAGAATGCCAGGTTGAAACAGACCTCAAGGATCATCTGCTCCAACCTTTCTTGGCCAAAGCACGGTCTAGACAAGATGGCCCAGCACTCTGCCCAGCTGAATCTTAAAACTGTCCAGTGATGAGGAGTCCACCACTTCCTTGGGGAGAAAGGCAGGGACACCTTCCACTAGACCAAGTTGTCCAACTTGCTGCCAAAGATGCCCTTGCCTCTTCTGGACAAGTTGATCACACCCTTCCCTAGCAGGCTGTAGTCATTGAAGACTCTCCCATTGTCATAAAAGCCAAAACCCTCATGATGCCACAAAGCCAGAAGTTGTTTTGCAATATACTTCTATTTCTGGTTGCACCCTTTTCTCACTGGTAAAATGGAAGAAAAGATAACTTGGGCACCAGTACTTTTTACTTGCGCCCCCAGGGCTTTGTAATCTTGATTCTGCCCAGTGTCATTCGTGCCCACATGAAAAAGTAGCAGTGGATATTAGTCTTGGCAACTTGTGGCACCCTCTCAGCAGCATCTCAGAACTTAGCTCCTGGAAGGGAGCATATCTCTCATGCAGGAGCAGATTTTCTCATGCTTCAGGAGCTAGAATGCTTAAAAAACTCTGTGAAGTCAAGGATAGTAACATATTGCAGTAACAGCATAACTGTAACCTATCAGTCAGTGAGTTAGGAAATACACTTCAGAGGGAGAAAAAAAACCAAAACCAAACAAACAAAAAAAACCCCAACCAAAAATCCCCACCAACAAAAGCATGGAACAATGTGAAAAAAAAGTCAGGTAAACTGTATCATGAATTACACTATGTCAGGCTAACTCTAGAATGTTTCTTTGATGATGACAAGTGTATCTGATGTGTTTTGTGTCTTGCTTCAGTGATAACTCCCCTTTATCAACTACGCTTCATTTTGTGAAAGCATATGAATATCACTTATTTCATTAAACTTGTGAACGTTATCCTGTTTAACAAAGCAATATTCTGTTTTTTCACAAGACTCGCTGTCATTTTCTCATGTAGCAACGTATCATACACTTTGAGACCAGGTTGGTTGCATAGACTGTATAAGGTATATGTCTTGTCCACTATGTTTTCTTCAAGAAAAGGAACATTGCTTTGGTCAAAAATAAGAACTTTGGATAGGTAGAGGGTAGGGCACAAAACGTGAGAATAAATGAACTCTTTGTTCATGGTTTAAATGGAATACATATTTTGCAAAATAAGACAGACCCTTTTTCTTAAGAACTAGTGAAGCAGTGACCATACCCAGCACTCCACAGATGGTGCAATATAACTTGGTGCTGCATGCACAGCACAAAAATGAGGGTATTCACACACCAGGAGCAGACTCTTTTTAGCACCTGAATGAGACTGGTCCCACCAAGTACAGAATATGAGCTGTTCAGGGGCTCCTATATTCTTAAAATGTAGCACACTGCAGATTTGATAGCACAAATTCAGAAAAAGCATTTTTAATTGTTGTGACAGGAATTTCTTACTTTAGGATTGAAGTAGAGACGTGCAGTGCTATCTGGGATAAATGCTTTTCAGATTTATTTACGTTTTGCTTCATATATTGATTCTTCTCATTTTCTTTCAAGCTGAGTTCAATTTCATTCCATTGATCTGTGGTTTTATATATAGCACTTTGTTAGAACTAGGCAGTGTAAACAGTTTTCATTAATTTTTTGCTTAATTAAAATCAATAGAGAGAAGACACTCATAAGTGGCTAGCTTTTATATGCAGCTTAGTATTGTTGGAAATACATGAAAATGATGATTTTAAAACCATTTAATGGTTAATTTATCTCCAATGGAAACCTAGCATATTCTGTTTCTTAAGAAGTTCCACCAAATAGTATTGTATGGTTGACATATGAGTTGAGGATTAGAGACTGTCACGTCGAGTGAGGAAGGTGATTTTAATAGCAATGTTTTGGATAAACTGAGATTTTATAGTATTGCTCTAAGAATGACAGAGAAATTGGGGAAATTATGACCTATGAGACAGAAATAATTGTAGCAAAAGGAAACAATGACTAATAGAGCACTCTTCTGGTCGTCCTCTTGCTTCACTGAGAAATGTGAAAATGTGTGGCTTTTAAGGTTAGAAAATGTAATATGTAGTAGTTTGCATGGGAAATTTCTCTGATATTTGCTGCTTAGGGACCACATTCTGAAATAGTTTGCAAAAGTCTTTTTACCTAAAAATAAGGTGATAAAATCCAAATAA